GGGGGGTTGGTGGGCAGTCTTCTCATCAGTGGTGTATGCTCTTGAAGAGATCGCTGGCACCCCAGCCCACTCCTCTTCCTCTTCGTTGCTTCACCACACACTGCCCACCATGATGCACTGCCTCACTGCACAGGCCCAGGCACAATGGGGTCCAACAGTCATGAAGGGGAAGCCCCCAAACTGTGAGCCTAAATAAACCTTTCCTCTTTATGAGTCAATTTACCTCAAGTATTTATTACAGTTAAAGGAAAGTTGACTAAAAAAAATTTTTAGGTAATGAAATATTAAGATGTCCCAAAAATGTCTTTTCACAATAATTACCTTGCCAAAGGAATTTATGCAGTGTATATAAAAGGTGGAAAAGGTGAGGAAGACTGGTGTGGAGTCTATCAACGTCTATATCCTGATTATTATACTCATTACAGTCTTCAAGATGTTACCACTGAGGGAAACTAAGCAAAGGACACACAGATCTCTGTATTAGTTTTTTGTTTTTTTTTTTACCAGGGATTGAACTCGGGACCTTGCGCTTGCGAGGCAGGTGCCGGAACCACTGAGCTAAATCCCCGGCCCTCTGTATTAGTTTTTACAACTGCTTGTGGATCCACTGTTCTCTCAATAAAAACTTCAATTAAAAAAATTTTGAAAGAATCCAAACATATACCAGATACAAGAAAATAGAAAGCAAAAATCTTTATTTTTTAAAAACTGATTTATTAAAAAGTTTCTAGCCAAATAATATAAAGCATTTTAAATTATTTGAAAATATGTACACTCTTTGTATAAGTAAACACTTGAAACTGTATAGATTTAAACAAATATTCATTTAGCAACCAGGTGGGTCACTATCACCTACCTAGCACTTTGTAAGGTGTTGGAGTATTTTAGAAACAAAAGATCAAAATACAAGAAAAAGTGCCGTTAAATATTTTTATCCTGAAGAACACATTCTGCTCTGTACATCCAACTATATCAGTCACAGTACTGTACAATAATCATGCCCTCATTTCTTTGGAAAGGCTATTTTAAAACCAAATGTACACATAATACACAAAACCAGGTATTTTATAGTTTATCTCATTAAACATGTACTTAAAACAGTAAGCAGAAGTAAATACAATCTTCCTAGTTCATTCATTTCAAGGCAAAGAAAAAATATGGACCCGCTTACCTTCCCAAAACATAGAGTAACAAGCTCCATCAAGCAACATCTGGCACCAAAATAAAGGTGATTAAAAAACAAGTGACCGGTTACCGACAACAAACACCAGGATGGAACCAACTGCACCTTGTGAAGAGTGGCACCATGCACGAGAGCAGCATTGGCACAGCGGCACCGCCTGCACCAAAGGGTCACTAGCCACTCCAGCACCCTTGGCAGTGTCCCGCCTCCACACCAGGGCTTAAGGAATTTTTTTGAAACAAGAACCACACTACGTTTATTACTACAACATCAGAGGCACAATCAATCTAGTTTCAAATTTAAAGAGGAAAGAATCTGTAGGATACTCGCTGTTGTGCCTCATGTGCGATCCCTGATGGGGTGCGGTGTTTCTAAGATGTGGGCAGTGTTTGTGGCCCTGAGTGTACTGGCAAAACATGTTCTGCTATTAACAGGGCTGGAGACCCACTAGGCTGGTGCACAGCACAGTACAGCCCAGCATAGGCTGCTAGATACGTATAACACATGCAAAAGTGTTTGCTTTTCAAATAGCAGGTGCAACCAAAGGCTGTTCGCAGAAGGTCCACAACTAAGCTTCATTCAGGAGACCTGGTATTCATCAGGTTTCCTTCTCTCCTTTATTCACAAGCTTAAAGACACCTTAATTGGTAATTCCCACTCACCCCACTGACGACTGTACCATAAAGATCTGCATGGAAGAACCATACCTGCCTACAGCAAGAGGCTGCAGCTCCCTGCTTTGAATGCTCTACACCACAGCAATTCAAGGAGTACAGATCCTGGAGCTGTCCACAAGGCCCTCACATTTTTAACTGCCTCACATCAAAGACAGGAAGGTAACACCTGAATCCTCAAGAAAGTACAATGCATTCTCGGAAGCAACCAAGCCACTCCCAATCAAACATCAAATGACAGGAGAAATTTTACATTAAATATAGAAATAAGGTTTCTGAGGCAGGAGGATCACCAGAAGTTCAAGGACATCCCGGGCTACATAGTGAGTTCAAGGCCAGCCTGAACTATATAGTGAGGCTTTATCTCAAAAGAAATAAGGTTTGTGGAAGTAAAACAATAGTCACTGTGGAATGCTCAGTGGTTAAAAGTGTCATGTTTCACGTATTAGCAAACCTTACCTTCAGCAGCTTTCTCATCAGCTGTATTTCCATAAAGTTATTAGCACTATTCATTATAACCTATTTTTATTGCACAACTTTTGTGAAGAAGCATTTCACTTCAAGCTCCTCATGGCTACCTCTCAAAAACTTATACTTCTTGTGACCGTTTAAATGAAGATCACTACACATCCATTCATCTTTGGCATTCTGATGTTTTCAAAAGGGAAACACCGATCTTTTTAACATTTTGCTTATGCTTCCTTCTGTCATCAGCACTGAGAAGCACGCTCATGTGGGTCTTGGGGACAGTCCCACGAAGGAGTCTTCAGAGTCCTGCAGGGTGCAAGATCTCTCAGCCCATTCACACTTCCTGACCAGCCTGCTTATTTAGGAACAGATAGCAGGAGGTTTACCTGAAAAGCAAAGCATAGGCTGTGTTAGCTCTGCTGCAGAACGCTGCCCTCCTGAAGAGGTGCCCAGAGCCTCAGAGGCAAAATGAGAAACGACCGTTTGTACAGCTGCTGGGCACTGGACATCTACAGGCCCTAAAAGGAGCTACTTTCTATCACCAAATCCAGGCCCTCAAGTCATTTAAAGTTTTAATGGCAAAACAATATAAAAACACATATGACAGAAGATATCAACAGAATCAGTGGCACCTTTTTCTGTGTAGAGTATGTTTTGGGTAAATTTGTGTATAAGCCAAATTCTGCAAATGATTTTTTAAATGCACAAGAACAGGCATGATAGGTGAATTTTAGTTTACATGTTAACTCTGACAGATGCAAGAATGCTTTGCCCACTCTGTAATGGAGGCCCAAGACCTCAGAGGTAGGTCACCATGGGGACAGGAAGGGAAGGGCAGTTTGCCTGACACACATGGATCATCCAGGCTGTGGAAAGCTATAGGTAAATGGACCTGGCTGGGAAGCCTACACAGTACCACTGCTTTGGTGACCAAGAAATGTCAACCCTCATCTCTTGTATAAATATGTGTTGCAAGGGGAAGGATATAAAATCAACCCTATGCTTTTTCTGCTAGCAATACAAAACCTCAGTCTAATCATGAGCAAAGAAACTTCAAACTGAGACGACTGAGCTCAAGGAAGGCTGTGGAACTGCTCCAGCTTCAAAGAAACTAGAGATGTAACCCCTGAGAGTAGTGTATGATCTGATCCTGACCTGGGACTCAGGGACAATATCTGAAAAGGACATTGTTAGAACACTGGTAAATTTGTAGTACGAATTGTGGATCAGACCACAGCATCAATGTTACATTTTAAGCTTTGAAAACTATACAGAAGTGGGAGTAGTATAAGAGAATTTCCTTTTCTTAGGAAATTCACTCTGTTGTATTCAGGAGTAAAGGAGCACAGTGTTTCCCAACTTACTCTCAAATGACCTAAAGAGGAGTAGGAGGGGAGAAAGTAAGATGACAGAGCAGAGAGGTAAATTGTAAACTGCATAAAAGGATAGATATGGGAGCTCTTATACCATTTTTGTACCTTTTCTGTAAGTTTAAAAGAATAAACTTATACTACTACACACTGGTGCTATAGTTTGGATCTGCAGTGTTGTACCAAGGCCCATGTGTTTAAGGCTTGCTTCCCACCCCGTCCTGCTGAGAGGGGGTGGAAACTTTCTAAGAGGTGGCACCTAGAGGGAGGTCTTCAGCTCACTGGGGACACACCCTTGAAGGGGGCAGGGGACTCACATCCCTTTCTCTTCCTATGTTTTACTTCCTGCCCATGAGGTGAGCTGCTTCACTGCACCACACACTTCCATTGTGATGTGCTGCCTTGCTGTAAGCCCACAAGCAACAGAATCAATTGACCATCAACCAAAACCCCAAAACTGTGAGCCAAAATAAACCTTTTCTTTTTATAAGTTGATTATCTTGAGTATTTGTAATAGTAATGGAAAACAGTCTAACACAATTGGATCTTACGATTCACGCCACATCTACATTCATGCAACTGACTATGACCATAGGGAAAAAACCTAGACAACTAAGTTGAATGATCTCATTTGGACTAATAACCACTAAACTCAATGGAACCTTCCTCCTTCAACCTCTCACACTCATACCCCCCCTCAGTCTTGGCAATAATCTTGCTTCTTACTTCATTGAGATTAGGACTCCTAGGAGCTCCCACATCCACTGCCTTTCCACTTCTGTGCCCACACAATCAGACTTCTCCTCACTCATGGCAGACCACCAAAGGGTCCACCTAACTGTTCCTGGGATTCCATCTCACATTCGCCACTCATGACATTTCCCTGCTCATTGGAGCTTCCCACAAACATACAAACATGTGTTTCCAATCACTGAAAAAAAAGCAACAGAAGGATAACGGGGTGAATAATAGTTATCTATAGGGGATAGAGGGAAAAGGCTGGAGGGAACTGGAAAGGAAAAGAAAGACTTCGGCAAATTTACCTTGCTCTGTAATTCTAACTTAAAAGCCACAGAAATACTTTACGTAACTACAAAGCAAAATTAAATCTTGAAACATTGAAAACAAGCCTAATTCTATAGCAAGTTGGTGGCATAACCACCCAGAAAACAGTCACTTCAAATGACTTATAAAAAGTTTTGACTGTACAATCCTACAACTACAGGGATATTTTTTAAAAATATGATCCCCATCTATCCATACAAAGACACATATACAGCCATAAAAAAGAATGAAATTTTGGCTGCAACATGGTTGAGCCTTGAAAATACACTAGATGAAAGAAGCTAGTTATGAAAGGTTATATGTTGTATGATTTCACTTAATGAAATATCCAGACTAACCAAATACAGAGACAACTGGTAGGAAAAGGAGGAATAGAAAATCTGCTAACAGCTAAGGGGTTTCTTTTTTCTTTCTTTCTTTTTTTTGGTACCAGGGATTGAACTCGGGACCTTGTGATTGAGAGGCAGGCAGGAGAACCACTGAACCTAAGGGGTTTCTTATAAGAGTAATGAAAATATTCTGGAATCAAAATGTTTGATGGTTATACAATTTTGTGAATATATTAAAAACCACTAAACTCTACACTTTAAAAGGGTGACTTTTATGGTAAGTGAATTACATCTCAATTTTTTTAAAGATCCCATTTCACCTTCCAGATTTCTCTTTTTTATATAACAAAACTTTCCCAGCTCCCTTCTCCACAGCCTCTACTCACTTCAGTTAGGGTTTCACCAACCTTACCTCTCTATCTGCAGTTCTCCAGTCCTTATCATATACTAAATGCCTAAATTACACCAAACTTAAAACCAGAAATAAACTATTCTCCAAAGTACCAACTACTCTTAATATATAATGGATACTCTACAATTTGCTGACTGAATTGAATGAATGACAGCTAACACAATTTGGCTCCATATTCAGTTTTTAAATTTAGAAATAAAAAACACTTCCAGCATCTATTCTAATTTCTAAAATAACCTCCACTCTTTTTCATTTGAAATGTGCATATTTCAGTCAAAATGATTCACCAAGCTAAATGAATGCCAGTATTTGAGTCTTTCACAAACAGGTCATTATTTTAAACACAGCAGTTTTCATTTTCAGAAAGGATTAAAATGCAACTGAAAACTAAAACTGTCCCTCAAAAGCAATTCAAAGTGTGAATTCTTGCTCATCAGGATAAACAATGTAGTTTTTAAAATTAAAACTAAAGCCAAGTTTCCTCCAACACATTATCTACTCAAGTTAAATAACCCAGGAGGGATCAAGTCCCCAGGACCTTCAGTATGGGGGTTACCTGTTCCATGGAAGGACAAGCAATGATCTGGATGTCTTCGGGGCTGAACTCTTCCTTTAACAGAGTGTGGAACTTCTGGAAGACTTGCTGAATGTTATTCTTAGAAAAAAGAAGAGAATGTCATATCAGATAAGCCACAAGAAACATATACATCTTAAACCTGAAGCACTAAGAATATTAAGTCATTGTGGTTTGTACAAAAACAAGTGGAGGAAATGTATCTTTCATGAGATTCCCGAAGACATGATTTAAACCTATGCTAGCACAAACTGATGAAGACTTACCAAATAATATTTCCTGCAAAAACTAAACTCTAGAAAACTGCCCTGTCAGAGAATAGTAATCTTCACCCATTTCTTACACAAAAGATAATAAAGTTCCAAGACACATAAAATGCGCTTTAAAAATCACCTTGGGTAAAGATGTGAGCTCAACACAGAACTAGAAGATGTGAGTCTTAAATTTGCTTTGACACTTAATCCCTCAGTGGCTGTTACCAGCCATTTATTTCTACTACTCACTAGCAAAATGGAGCGTAATTCCGGAAATGCTGCTCTCTTAAGGGCTGAGCCATATGCAATGTGAGCATCTGATTTTTTTGTTTACTCATTTCTAATTTTAAAGTTAATGTTAGTTAATGTTAAAAACATAAGATGAAGGGAGGGTATGGGGAAGGAAAAGATATACTCAGATAGATAAAGGCTCTGAAAGCCTTTAAAGAATCATGGTGATTATTAATCAACTTCACTAGAATAGAATACAAACATTTTTAAATGCCTGTAGGAAAAGAAAACTGGTAGGTGAGAAAAGAACATTGGAACACACTGGGCAACATTCAAATAAATTATTGTGCTACTCACCCTAACAGGTTTAAATAAAATGAACTCTGTATCTTTATTGGATAGGTACAGCGACATGCTTCTCAATGTCAGAGGCAGCTTTGATTTTATTGTCTTATAGGCAGTTGCCACAAGGTCACTAACCTTCGCTGCAAAGCAAATAATCTTGTTAGTATCACAAAGAAAAAGAAACATTTCCATTTTAATGTAGAGGGGAAAAAAGAAATAGAAAAAGAAAAGACTTTATTTCCACAAAGAATTTTCTTTTTTTCTGTTTGTTTTATCAAGTATAATTACAAGCCTTATAAACATTAAGTATCTACTATATACAAAAAAAACTCTAACCCCGAAGGCTGAGGCAGTAAAGAATTCCTGCAGCATGCTTCAAGATATTTACTGGGGCTGTACTATGCCTCTTTAGAATTTGAAGGTAAGAGATACAGCTTTAAAAAGTCTTTTTTTTTGGTACCAGGGATGGAACTCAGGACCTTGCACTTGCGAGGCAGGCGGTAATAAGTCATTTTTAGAGACACTAGTTAGAATTACTTCACAATAAATAAGCACCTAACTTAGGTCATTTGGGAGATAGCCACACATATTGAACTGAATATCCATTTGTTACCTTCTTACGTGGTATTATCAGACAGGGAATAGAATTCCAGAGCTTTTAAAAACCATGTAACCCCAATGTAGTATGTGAGGGAGCTACAGAGGAAGAGCAGTCATCTGTATGATGTATTTAAGAGAAGAAATTAACTAGATAGCTACAAAGGAAATGATCAGACTCTCAAAGATGTTCAATCTCACTCAAAATTTATGTAAATTAAAGCAGTGAGATATTTAGATTGGCAAAAACTGGCAAAAAGACTGGATATATCCATGTTTGACAAGGATGTAGGGAAATAGGTATTTGGCCTTTCAAATCCATGTACTCCACATTCATGGATTCAACCAAATGCAGATCAAAAATACTCAGAAGAAGAAAAAAAACCCAAAGCTGTGTCTATACTGAACACTTACAGACTTTTTATTTTGTTTTTCCCTAAATAATATAGTATAACACCTATTAACACAGCATTTATTTGTTATTAGGTATTACAAGTAATCTAGAGATTATGTAAAGTATACAAGAGGATGTTCAAAGGTTTTTGCAAATACTTCCCTTTATGAGCAGGGTATATAGCTCACTGGCACTGTGCCTGCCTGGCAAGCACAAGGTCCTGAGTTTGATCCCTGGTACTGAAAAAGAAAAAAATCACTCTATATGAGACTTGAGCATTCATGGATGCTGGCTACCCGTGGGGGGTTCTGGAACCAATCCCCAATAGAGACCGAGAGACAACTGTATCCTTATACTAGCTGTTGATGAGAGTAGCAAACAGTTCAACTTCTGAGGGATATTAGGCATTATCTAACAAAACTGAAAATACACATATTCTTTCACTTAACATTTCCACTACTAAAAATTTATTCTATTAATAAAACTCACAAACTACCAAGATATATGTATAGAGGGACTTTCATTGAAGACTATATGGAAACACAAACTAAAAATAATTGAAATATCCCTTAACAGAATTACTAAAGAAAGCATGCATGATGATGCGTCCTATACATTCATCACACATAATGGACAGGGCTGACTATGCTGGTACAAAAGGGATGCAGGACACACAGGAAGTGAAAACAGTATGGGGCATGGCCCAACCTCATCCGGGGAACAATTTTTGAAGTCCAAGTGACCTAGCACATACATAATTTGGGGAGAGAAACTGTACCAGTGGTTACCTTTGAGAAGAACAAGTGGTAGAAAATATAATTTTTCATTTTACGCCTTCACAATTCAAATTTTGTACCAGATTAAAAAAATTAACTAAGAAGGGCTGTGGTAAAACAAGACAAGAAAGTACCAATGTTCATTAAATAAATGAAAGCTCCTTCTGGACACTTTCTCTATCGGCTCTGGTTCTGTCATCACCAACCCACTTCAGGGATCACTAAATCAGTTTTCAGAGCCCTTGAGAACCACAAAAAGAAAAAAAAAACCTATCCTAGAGCAAATTAACCAACTGGCATACTGATTTAGAACTCATCAACTTGTGAGTTTATCACAATGTGACCTCCTAAAACTTGACCAGCTAGCTCTAAATGAACCCATCACCCTGAGTTTCTAAGGCAGAGGGGCTCAAGACAGATTCTCCTCGATGCTCCAAGCCCATAAATCTCTGGTTTTTCTTTTCTTTTGAGATAGGGTCTCACTATGTAGTTCAGACAGGCCTTGAACTCACTATGTAGCCCAGGCTGGTCTTGAACTTGCAGCAATCCTCCTGCCTCAGCCTCCTGAGCGCCACCACACCTAGCCCATAAATCTCTTTTAACACTAAAGTGTGGGCTTCAGGCATTACAGATCATGAAAAACCAATGCCACACCTCCCCGAGGGCTAAAGGGACAGAAGATACAAGCACAAAATAGACTGAACAGTCTGTCGGGCATTATGGCCTGACACTAGCACTTGGGAGGCTGAGCAGGAGGACTGCCACTTGTTCGAGGCCAGCCTGAACTACATAATGAGACCCTGTCTCAAAAAAAAAAAAAAAAAAAAGGCTAAACAGTCACTGGTATACTAAGATCACCTTACTTAGAAAGAAACCAAAAGGGTTAAACAACAAAATAGCAAGCCTTATTTCAATCAATCCTTTTTGTCAGTTTCTTTTACGTATTCCTACTTTACTAATGACATTCTAGTAATGCTTAAGAGCACAATACATATAATACTGTGAATTCCATTAGGATTCCACTTGAGAAAATAATAACCCTACCTTGATCTTTCTAAAATGGAAAGAACAATACATCAATTATGCATCAAGTCTCTGGGCTTAGCTGTAGTCAGTATGCCTATGCCTATCTGCTGTTTTTGCCTATTTTAAGAAAGATTTATTCCATCCAAGAGTTTCATTTACATAAACATTCAAATTATAAATCAGCTTCTATTTCTCAATAAGCCTTATAAGCAACTGAAACCATAAAACCAAAGGCTCTAATTAATCCAAAGATCACAAATATTACTCCAAGAGTCAAAAGGTGAGTTCGGGACTGATCAGTCTGCTTCTTGACTGTGAGGAATCACAATAAGTAGCTGACACTAAGGCAGACTACAAGTAGAATTTCCAGTCTTGTCAGTAAAAGATTCTGACTTCTGTTTTCTGACAGAATGTACAACTGCATCAAGTATGCTGCTTTTTAAAGATATTAAAGATTTCAATCTCATACACAATACTGATGTTTAAAATAATACAGTAGAACATCCACTGTCTCCATCATAGTAAACAAAAGGCATGTCACAAAGTTTATTTGCAATACAACAAATCAATGCAAACCCGTACTGACATCCTCAATGTGCATATGAAGAACCTCTGCGATGCAATTCTTTCTTTTGAAGACAATTGATAATTCTCTACAACTGTGCACCTTCCTAAGAAATACTCTTAACTTCTTGGCCCAACTTTAACTCAGGCATTCATAGTAACTGAAAATTCTGGAGGCTTAGAATGGCTGCAATCCTTTTTCTCAAAGGAAAAGAATACCTGACAGACATAACATTCTCATAGAAAAATCAGTCATATCTAAAAAGTTGATTGCATATTAGGTGTCTATACACAGCCAATTTTCACAGATACAAAACCAGAATCACTTTTTGGAACTCTTTCACTATGAGGAAAAGGCTGTTTTCCAACTTGGACACAGCTTACTCATAATAAAAACACTTACTTCACAATTTCACCCTTTTTAGTTTCAAAATATGGGTCAGAAATGGCCGGAAATACCAATTTAACAAAATAATTTGTTCTGATTTAATGGCAATTCAAAATGCCACATAATGTACCAAAAATAACCCAAAGTTAGGGGTAACTTTAAATGTCTAACATGTAATACTAAAGAATTCCCCCAACAGGCTGGGGTTGGATGTCAGTTGAAGAACATTTGCCTAATGTGAGCAAGCCCCAGAAGTCAATCCCCAGCACAAAAAACAAAAATAAAAAGAACTGTCACCACCCTAAAACAAAACAAAAAACCCTGCAGCACTAAAAAAAAAAATCCAAAAACCAAACAACAACAATAAAAAACATTTAGGCAAGAGTAAGACTGGACATTTCAGATATATCTGCAAATCAGGCAATGATATTGCCTGCCAACTCCCAACTGACACCTCAATTTTTACAATTTTTTTTCAAATACTCTAAAATATCAACAGAGGGGGCCTGGGATATAGCTCAGTGGTTCCGCCACCTCCCTTGCAAACACAAGGTCCTGAGTTTGATCCCCAGTACCAAAAAAAAATCAACAGAGGATGTAATTTTGAGAAAATGTGAAACAAAACAGTGGCCCCACATTTCATATACTTGAAAATAGGTGTTCTCTCTCCATAACTTCATTCTGTCAAATATACTATTTTCATCAAAGCTCTATCTCACCCAAAGAATAATGAGTATATAGAAATCAGACTCCAAAGTGTTTCCAACTGAGCCACATTTTATTTTTAACTGGGTAAAATTTTTTTAAATTCTTCCTCTCTTGGAATGCTTACTGAGATACACATAGTGTTGGCCAATTAAGAGCTGTCGCTCCAAAATGAATCTTGCATTAACTCACATCACAGTATTCCAGAGTGAACAGGAAACTAACTCCAAGCTGTCACCGTAAAGCTATATAAATGGAAATTAATAATATCCTAAAAAAAGAATCCAAAATGGTAAAACCTGAATACCTGGCTGTGCCCAAGGCTGCTGGGAAAGGGTATACTTGGGGCCTCCCTGGCTGGCCATTGTTTTTAATGCTGAAACCTAGAAGAGGAGACAAAAATAAATGTTTTGTTTCACCAATGACAAACTGTACTGTTCTCAGAGGAAACAAAACCCAATTTAAACCTATTAAAATATACTGATAATCTAACGTGCAACTGTAACAAAAAGGCAATGTATCTCATAATCCTTTATAGCCAACAAAATTCTTAAGCAAAACTTTTTTTGTGATTTCATAGCATATGTTATCTTGCAAAAAAAATATACCAAAATCATATAAGGCAATCTCCCTAATACACTTCCATACAGGAAGATGGAAATGAAGGCCCTAGAGCAGTGGTGGCAAACCTTTTAGAGCTTTCAATGATACAAATAGCCCACTGTGACATGCATCCCACACGTTTGCCACCACTGCCCTAGAGAAGCGCCAACACAAAACTGGTCTCTCTTAAGTGGACTGTTATGTCATTATTACCATATGTTATTAGAAAAATATTGCCCAGCAGGATAAAAATCACCTTTACATACCGAAAAGACTTTTTTTTTCTTTTCATAGGCAGAGAGAATGTCATTAAAACAAAGAAACAGGATCTTCAAATACCATCAAAGGGCACATGTGACCATTGAGTGCTACAGACACCGACATGGGAGCCTGTCTTCTCCTCATCACTATCATTCCTCAGCAGCGGTACAGAAAAGTGAATACAAAAAGTGCATTCAGCTGCTCAGACAAGACTGTTGCTGATATAATAGTGATAAGAGTAAGAAATGGTTGGGGAAGGTAAAAGACAAACTGAATGAAACGGTTTTTTTAAATGGCCATATGCAAAAAGTCCAGACCATGGTGTTGGCCTCACTTGGAAAGTCTCATTAGAAAAACTGAGTACCAACATTTTAGCTTTCTCACAAAAAGAGGAAACAAAATACTCAGAGATTGGGCAGGGACAGGTATAACATTAACTCAGATCTCCTAGACTTCTTTATTTCTAATTTCTCTTTCTACCCGTAGACTACTCTGGGCCTTTGTTCATGCTGTCCATCTGCATAAACCCCTTCTTTCCTCTTTCCTCTCACTCAATTCCTCTTTTTTTTTTTCAAATATCTTTTGGTTTTTTGGTACCGGGGATCGAACTCAGGACCTTGTGCTTACGAGGCAGGCACGGTGCCACTGAGCCAAATCCCTGGCCCTGTTCCCCTTTTTTTTGAGACAGGATCTCACTATGAAGTTGAGGCTGCCTTAGAGCTCTCTACGGACCTCGAACTTGCAGCGATCCTCCTGCCTCAGGCTCCCGAGTGCTAGGATTATAGGTGTGTGCCACCATGCCCACCTTATATCTATTTTTCATTGTGAGATGCAGTTTTAAAAAAGAAAATACACATTGATTAGAGGTTAATTAGGCTGAGCATGGCAAAAGATATTACTTATCTTTAAGTCAAATCCCAAGGAACATTTTGCTCAGTTTTCCCAGACTTGTAAAGATAATCTCTCCTAAGAAAGATACCCAGAGAAAAACAAGGAAGAAATGGCTGGTTGGAGGGGGGTTCCCCAATGAGTCCCATCTTTTATAAAGCCTCAGGGATGAACAAAGACCCAGTGTTTTGGAAGGCACTGCTGTGTACACTTTAATGTTTACATTATCTTCCCATCTTGATTTCCCACTAGGTTATAACTCTTTGAGAGCAGAAATTAAATTTATAGGTCAAATTTTACTATATACACTACATTAAGAAAAATTTCTAGTGTTACTGAGGAAATTAATAACATTTCAGAGGGAATATTAAAAATAAATCTGTAATATATTATTTAACTGCTTAAAGAAAAATGAGTATATTTTACATATAAGTCTGAGTTTTTAGCATAAACTGGTCCCACCAGAAAGAAGTAACTTTCAGCCTAGTTATAAAACTAAAATACTTCCATTAAAATGCCTTAATAAGACTTTTTTTGCCAAAGCAAAATCTTCACCTCAAATTTGTCTATTTTACTATAAAATAACATTTCTGCAGCACTTTACAATTAAAGCTTTTCCACATATAATACTAACTGAACCTCATCACAACCTCAGGTAGGGAGGATGGATGCTATAGCTATGCCCACCACGGCTCTGAGAAGATGACTTGCCTAGTTTCAGTGAGGAAGTCACAGGAGGGGGTCTATGACCAAGGTTCCCTGACTCCAAGCTCCAAGCTCCTTCTTTTACTATTCCAAGCCCTAAGTAAAGGTTTCAAGCATTGTCCAGTAAATACTATGGAATACTAAAACAATGTATCAACAGTTTTTTTCTTTTTTTTTTTTTGGGTACCGGGGATCGAACTCGGGACCTTGCGCTTGCAAGGCAGGTGTCGGAACCACTGAACTAAATCCCTGGCCCTGTATCAACAGTTTCTGAAGTCTCAAGGAAAATTATCTAACTTAAATGTTTTCATAAACACCTCTACCCCAACACTCAGAATAGTTCTACATTCTTTTGGGCCATTCAAATACTTGGAGAAAAGACTGTTTTTCCAGGGGCAAGAAATTAGGCAATACAGCATATATGTTCTTCTTGTTCTCATTTTGTTTTTCCCAGGAAAGACTATTAATTATACCAAAAATCATGAAGGAACCAAATAATAAAGATGTAAAAAGTTTATTTCATGTACTTTCAGTCTCTCTGCAAAAGTTGATTCTCAATCTATGAAAAGAAGATGCAATTTTTCTGGGAAAAGGAATGTGGTTAAGAATTAAGGAAAATGAAACACCTCAACAGGGGAGCCCAGAAAGAGGACAGATAAACGAAGGACCAATAAAGAGTGGATGAAAGGGAATCAGAATCACATCTAAGTTTTCAGGCTCAAAATCCCATCTTCAAATAACCTAAACATGTTCCCCATGCACAAAGACAATCTGTTTCTGGATACACGAGACTGGTTGGTACTCTGCAGGTCCAATACAAAGTGAGATTCCAGGAGACAATGAGAGAGACACCCAGCCCACATGCAGGTAACTTACAACATGGATAACAAAACACAGCTAGCCAAAGGTCAGCTGTAACTAGCTTAGCAGTATTTGTACTTTTCCTCTTCAAAACTGAAAATTCTGCAAGCAGATCTAAACGTCCGCAAACCAGAAGTTTCTATTATAGGAGACACCGTAATTTCTTAGATAGAATTATTAAGATTTGGCTATCTCCTTCTGCTAAAGTTTTCACAAGAGGGTAATTCAAAAGGAAAGCCAAGGAAGAATGCAAAATGACTTTACAAAGTAGGCATCACGGTCTATACCTTTGTCATGAACTCCTCCAGCTGCTCTACAAATAGCTTGCTCTGCTGCTGAATAAACTGCTCACAGGCTGATTTCAGATGCCGGTCTACATCTTTTTTAGAGTCAAGATAATGTTCTCTTATTTCAGGAGTACCCTTAAAAAGAAGATGACAATTTCCTCCTGTTTTTATGTGCCTAGAAATTACTAGACATGTAAAGAATGTCGTTTCATTCCCACCACCAATGAAACAGACTCCTTCTCACCTCCAACAAGAACTCTATCAAGGCATTGTTGCTATTCAGCCTAAAAAATCTTGGAACAGTCATAGGGTTCAGGATTTTAAATGCCGCATCTGTGAAACAAAATTACTCATCCAGTGAACATGTACAGTTTCAACAGAGAAGTCTTGTGTAACAAACACTAGTTCTCTACGCCCCAAGCCACAAGGCATGCATCTTCAGCTCAGCTCAGTGAATGGCTGAGGGCGAGATGACTGCCAGTGATGGCTGTGGCAGTTACTTCCTGAAGGTCAGAACTGCAAAATGACTATTCATCTCAACAATCCACTTACAGAAAAAAAGAAAAGTAATAAATGGTATTTGACACTGTAATATTTCAGTACTGTACTTTTAGAATGTTAAGAGATTTTAAGAAAATATTTACATACTTACCCAGCTTCTTTGTTAAGATCCTGGCTGGCATAAAAATTTATTCCCTTGAAGGAGAGTGAATAAACTAATGTGTCAGCCAGGAGGAAAACACCATAAGGACATATTTATCCCTTAACCTCCAGACTAACTAGAATCTATACAAAGTACTAAATGAGGTTACATTAATGTTCAAATGCAATAAGATAAAATGTTAGTCATAAGAGGTTAGAGAGTTAAAAGTGAAGATAGCAAGTATTAAATGAGAGTTTAAAAAAAAAAGATCATTTCTTTGCTTTGCTTTGTTAGATTAGAGAAAGCAAAGCAGGAAAGGCTTCATTTCAAATCCCTGGTTTTGTAACCACACACTGCAATACTGCCTTGGCCCTGGTGTTAATGAAAAAGAACCTCCCTATCAGATTTGGTGTTTAAAGTAAAGCTTTAGTGAAACTCTTTGTGTCTGCTGTATCTTTTCTATGATATACCTAAAAGAACCTGTCTGCAATAAACAGAATCAAACCACCATCTGGAAGGGTTAAATAAGCTTCATAATATTTGGGAGAAAACATACTTTAAAACAAAGTGGTTTTTTTGTATTACATTTTTTATTGGTACATTGTAGGTATACAACACAACTGCATTTCTCATTGGGAATTGTACCTTTACATAATGCATCTTGTTTCTTATTTTTTCCCCAAGTTTAAAACAAATTTTGCCAAAATCTTATGCTATTTCATTTTTTCATTTGCTCACATCTCAGTGGATCTACAATAGAACCAAGTGGCAAGAGCATATGAATAAGAAAAAATGAAAGTAAATCAACCCTCCTCTATCCCATCACTTAGATAAGGGACTATCAGCAATCTGGAATTCTTTAAGACAGGGCACTGTTCCCACACCTCATACTGAAAGAAAAGAAAGAAATCAAAGAGAATAGCTGGGAGAGAGCAACTCTGAAGAGATTACGCTCTTTAAAAATTATGCTTTCTTTAGCAGCTCAGGTGGATGAGGCAGGAGGATCACAAGTTCAAGGCCAGGCAGGGCACCTAAGTTAGATCCTGTCTCATAATAAAAATAAAAAAGGCTCTGGGTTCAATCCTCAGTACCATTGAAAAAAAAAAAAAGCATTTTGTAAAGGCAAAGGCCAGGAAATCTAGCTTCTGTTTAAAAAAAAAACAACAACAAAGTATACAAATAACACACACGGGCTTTGAAAAACGAAAAAAAATTTTTGAAATAAACAGGAGAGAACATTAGGGGGAAAAAAACCTGTTTAATATGACTCTCACAAGGCCACAGTGAGCCCCAGCCAGTTAAAGAAACCCCACTCCAGGGGCCGGGGATTTAGCTCAGTGGTTTCGCCGCTTGCTGCGCAAGCGCACGGACCCGAGTTCGATCCCCAGTACCAAAAAAAAAGAAACCCCACTCTTATAGATGAGCACAGAGGGGTAGGGAACTAAAAACCTGCTACCTTTGGAAATTCTGTATTCGGCATTGCTCTGAAGTACAGAATACAAAAAATAATTTCAGTGACTTTTCTCAATTACCCCAATAAAGAATAGAGAAGTTAATTCATTACATCAACAGATGGCTTAAGGCATTAGAGCTTAAATGTTTTGGAAGTGATTAGGAAAAGATAAAAGTTTATAAAAATTTGTAAGTAATCAAGACAAATAAGTGATGTTTGGTATATCCTTAACTGCCTACAATCAACAGCTTAAAAAGTCATTACTCTGATCTTTTAAAAACTATCTCTTATTACTTCAGGGACAAATCATTAGGACTGCTAAATTATCTTTCCCAAGATGAGTCAGTATTTATTACCAATTCAAAAACCCTATCTACATGATTAATTAACCAGCTGATTTAACATCACTTAAGTTTATTTAAGCAACTGAAACTTATAAAGCGTGTTAACATATATTTTCTGAATGATCTTGATAATTCAGTGAAGGTGTCCCAGTAAGTTCAGTATGCTCATTTTACCTAGGAGAAAGGTTTGATAGGAAGCTAAAATACCCATTAAAGATCTTACAAGAGTCAGGAAACAATGAGACAGAAACAAAACCTAACTCTCAGATCTTAGGTAAGTACTCCCACTTTTACCCTGGCTTCCAAATTTTCAACAACTGACAAATTCAACTCAATATTTAAAATCATACCAATTAGCTGACATACACTACTTAGTACTAAGTAGCTATTATATTGATTTTTTATTTTCTAACTGGTTATACTAACATGTGGTAGAATCTAAGACAGGTAATATTATATTATGAATTAAAACGCTCAGATACAGTACAGTTCTCTTCCCCAGCACTCAGGGAGTTGAGGCAAGAGGATTGCCAGGAGTACAAGGCCAACTTGGGCTAACAGTTAGTTCAAGGGCAGTCTGAACTACATAGAGAGACCCTTTCTCAAAAACAACAATAAAAAATACAGTTCCCTTCACAAAGAAAACACAGCAAGTTAGAAGCAATTAGGGTACTGACAGCTCAGCTTAGTATTAACAAGTAATATATTTAGCAAGCAAAGCATGCAAAAAAAATTGCAGATGAACATAAAATAAACCTACAACCTGTGCTGACACATTTGGGAAGGTCAAACACACCCAACTGCGCCAGCCAGGACAATAAAGTACCTCTAGTTTTCTTGAGGTCCAGAGAAATTTCCTTAATGGTGAATTCAGTGTGAAATGGAGCAATTTGTTCACGAAGAATCAAAAGGTGCTTAATTAAGAAAAGCTGTCCATCAATCTGAGTCTAAAACAGAAAAAATGGTATTATCATAGATTAAATCAAAACAGGAACATATAAAACACATTATTAATTGACATTAATCTACCTAAATTTACACGCTTATGATGCCAATACTTTTTTTTCATTTTTTGAGACAGGGTCTTGTGATCCTCCTGCCTCAGCCTCCCGAGTGCTGGGATTACAGGCATGCGCCACCACGCCGGGATGCCAATACTCTTTTGCTATACAGTGAACTCTCCCTATATCACTCAGTTAGAATTATTTGGGGAAGGGCTGGGGATTTAGCTCAGTGGCACCATGATTGCCTCACAAGCGTAAGGTTCTGAGTTTGATCCCCAGTACAAAAAAAAAAATTATTATTTGGAGGAAAAACATCCTGCTTAACTATTACTTGCTCTACTTAAAAAATCCAAGAAAGTATATCTGACAAAAAGCCTATAAAGCACCACATCTAGGAAGAGAATTCAAACCTTTTTAAATTTGTTGCAAAGGTAGAAAAGATGCTGCAGTCTGACATCAACACAGAGCAGAAGGTACACAAAAGCTCCATACATGAGCCTAATTCTGCCCTCTCGTGGCCTGTTGTTTTCTCTTCAGAAAGATACCTTTCACTATTTGGTCAAAGTGGTTTCAATAACAAGAACATCAGACAAACTCTTATTTATATAAAAGTTCAAAAGGAGCCTCCTCCAAATGTAAAATGGTTTGGGGGTCACCATTTTGGATTATAAAGAGGATGGACAATCTACACTCCTGAGTCTCACATGCCCTTTTGCCCTCTTGGAACCTATCAGCTACAAGAGACATGTGATGGAAGTTTAGTTCTCAAAGCCAACCTGATCCCAAAATAGTAAGTAATCAGTTTCTACAGGAGTCTGTATATTTACAAATGCAATGCTTTATTTGCTCCTCCTTGCTGCTACTCAAGATTTAATATTACTTTGAAAATATTTCTAATCAAAGTTTTTATATTACATTAGAAAAAAGTTATTCTACAGTAAGTAATATAAATTTTAAAGGGCTTATTAAACAAGTGACCCCTCCCTAGTCTCTCTCCCCTCACTTCTTTTTTTTTTTGGTACCGGGGATTGAACTCAGGTCATTTGCGCTTGCGCAGCAGGCGGCGAAACCACTGAGCTAAATCCCCGGCCCTCCCCTCACTTCTAATAAACATAATCTATATAAGTAAGACTTTTACAATGGAAACTCAACTATGTACTCTGGAACACAGAGCATTAGCAAAGTACAAAATGCTACATGTCTTAGTACTTGTTCTATTTTTAAAAGAACTAACAATTCTGTTGTCAAAAATAGCATCATATAGATATGATTTATTAAAGTTGATGTAACTCAACAGATTGTATTATGCTAATTTACTGGAAGACCAGCACCTTAATTTAACTATGTAAGAATAATTTCTCCCCTTAAAAAAAACCAGAAAAACTCTCAAAGACATTAAGCCACTTCATTAGTCACTTTTTTTTCATATGTCATTTCTTAAAAAGTTGAAAGGCAAAAGTACATAAACTCAGCCATGAAACTAAATAAGCTAGTGCTTACCAAACTGAGGGCTTCTACATGTACTTACAGCCCTTATAATAAGTATAAAATAGAAATAGATAAAAGCCTACAGATAGGACAGAAGATTGAATAATCAAAAGGCTTAAAATAGAGGACAGTGGTACCAAAGGACATAAGCATATAAATTTTTCTTAATTAGGTCATTAAGAAATATATACTCACTGCAGAAAATCTGGAAAATAAAGAAATATGTAGGGAATGGGGCAAAAGTCACCCAAAGCTTTCAGTTTCGTATTTGCTTCAATGCATTTTTTATTGCATAAAGTCACACTGGATATCTGATTTGTATCCTTTTATTTTTGCCTTATCAAAGTTAATTATATTATTTTATTGTTTTAAATGTAATGATATATTCTACCATATGGAATATGTCCCACTTTACTTAATCATTTCTCTAATGTTAGAGACCCATTTCTCAATTTCACCTATTATAAATGTAAGAGGTCAGACTCACAAATATATTTAAAACTTAAACTCACCTATCTATAACTTTATTTTCTATTGTCTTCTAGTCTGTATCAAAATTTCAACTCTCTGTTCCATAAATGGGAGAAGACAGTGGTCACAAAAGTACAGCTTTTCTAGCAACAAGATGCTAAATTCTTTCATGGAGAGATTTTTTTATATTAAAAAATGTATCTAAAGCCTTTAAGTTAGAAATCAACTTTGTAAATTTAGAAGTCACAGACTTTGAATACCTTAAGCAGTAATAAAATTTTGGCTGAAAATTCCTGCAGGCAATAGGCATTTTAAGAAGAATTATGCTAAGCAATACTATTGATCATGCTCAATTAAAAATATATATATATATCGTAAGGGCATGAGAGAAGGACACACCAGCAGTCTCCCTCGGGCCCCATCCTGATTAAAACCTTAAACCATGCAGTTTCAGCAATTACTTCTAGTCACACAATCCAAGGGCCACAACTGCCTCTTTCCAAAATGGATGGCTGATTTAATCCAGATGAGGCCATGAGACTACTGAAAACAACTTTGCAGGGATGATTAAGTTGCTGTTTCCTTGACAGTGCTTTCTTGGTATTCCAGGGAAAGAGCGGTATCATCTCCTTAGGCAATAAGACAATGACAAGGAACTTTCACTCCCTAAAATTTGGAGGGGGAGGATCGAACACAGGATCTTGCGCTTGCGAGGCAGGTGCGGTGCCACTGACCTAAATCCCCAGCTCTAAAATTTATTTTTAGTATTTTAGTAATCTGCCTTTCTTAGCACAATGTCTATAAGGACTATAATGAAATACTAGCTTCTCTCAAAGGGCCTCAAAATACAATCATAAATAAATCTAACTGTCAAGATTGGCTTTAAATTTCTGTACCTATAAATGAATACTATATCGTACAATATTATTATAGGTATTGAAATTTCACCTAACACTTCATCAAACCTTGTTTTTGCTGATAGACTCTGATGCTCCAAGTAAGGACTGAATGCAGGCTGACAATGCTTCCTGTGATAATCCTTGGAACACGGCCCTCTGGTGAAATAAAAGAGAAACAGCCTGTGGCACTTCAAAAAACGAGAAAAAAAGGCTAAGCTGTGCAGGCATCTAATAATGCTTATCTTCATCATGGAGTTATTTTAGTACTGTACCATTCCTCCTGGAGTTTTTATTCCCCTCTAACCTTTCTAAACCAATGTACAAGCACATTTATGTGTGCAAATCCATGTGTGCCCCTTCAGTACATATGTATCAGCACTACTGCATGCTGGGCACCGTATTAGATGCCAGGAAATACAGAGGCCAAGAGGTAGACAGAGTTCTGACCTCATGGAGCCCTTACCCCAGCCTGATTTCACATTACAGGGCTGTTTTTTAAAGCTCTAAAACTAACTGTGAAACCCTCAGTAAATCCTTTAGTAAAAATTTAACCCAGGTAATTAATCGGTATTTATTAAGGTACTTTCAGGTTTGTGTATATGGCTCTCCATTATGGTACTATTTACAATTTAAAAACTGAAATAATATAAATATTCAATGATGCGAGGTTCACAAAATACTAGTAAACTAAATTATAAAATACGGTGTATGAATACAAAGAATGCTGAAACAGTGACATGCTTATAAGAAGTTATGTATTATAAATTAATAGAAAATATAATCAATAGAAAAAATGTTACAAAATGGTACATGAAGTATGAATCCTAATTCTGCCACTTCTCTATCATCCCAGAGGTGTGACGTGTTCATTGGGCAGAGATTCCCATCAGTCCCTTTGCTACCCTCCTGCCTTCACTCTACCTGAGATGAAACTAACATGGACAAAATATGCAAGACATTTATTACCAGGCTGTACTCCTGGCGCTGGTCTCCTGCTTGATATTATTCTCTTTTTGTATTGCTCTTCCCTTTCTCAAGGCTGCTAAATAAAAGGGGATTAGCATTACCTCCCCCTGGGTCACTGATCTTGCCTGGAAGGTGAAAGATAGGCAGCTTAGACCAAGACCCTTTTCTTCCCCAGCTCAGCCTTAATGGTGTTTTTCACTTGATTCACCTTTGATCAGTAAGACTGAAAAGGTTAAGACTTGAAAGACAGCTAGGTGAAAAAAGAACAAGCCTGAGGCACAAAACAAAACAGGTAGAATGATCTCCTTCAGCCTTATTATTTTGCTAAAGTCCTGTTCAAGCACCCTCAGAGGCTTCCTTCACTAAGATCTATAGTAACAAAGGATGCTAAGTGGAATATGCTGCCTGCACATTTCCCCCAAGATTCTGGCTCTACTGCAGGGAACTTCTAAATTCTAGTATGCTACTATTTAATATACCTACTAGGGAACCTGGGAAGGAAGAAATACCAAATGTCCAGACTTCCTTCTCAAAGAGATCTCATGAACTACGCAGTTTAAATTAGATAGAATAGTATGGACTTCACTGATGCCGTGAAACAACTGTAATCTTCTTGGGTCGTAGGACTTCAGAATGGAATACCAGTATGTGATATGAGGGCATTCATACTCCTTTTGAATTATATCCTTAAAAAACAGTGGCACCTGGACAAGTTGTTACATGACTGCTATATTTAATCATTTTTCTCTGTATGTGCAGTTGGGATGGTAGCCATCAAATTAATAAATTAAAAACTGAAGTAAACTGACCAAATTTTGTAACTATTTTGGTTTGGAAATCAAACCAATGATGGCAAATTTGTAGACAAATGTGCTGTTACAGAGGAATGACAACTGTTATCACTAAACCAGAGTGCTTAAAATAACTCTGTTCCCTGAGATCAAATGCAGTGTAAGTTGGTCCTGAAAAAAAAGTACTGCTAACTTCAGCAAATAATTAAACTTACTCCATGACTAGAAACACATGCTATCTTAACACTATTTGCTGAGGATGCTGATTCAAACTGAGTGCAAAACTAGACTACACCATTTAATATTAAATGTAAATTATACCTATGTGACACTGGATGTACCACTTAACCTCTCTGCAATCTCTTCTCCTCTAAAAACTAAGGCAGACAAGTTAATCAATTGTTTTAAACTTATTCCTCTGAGAAGCAATGAAAGCCAAAGCCCTTCTCCTGAGAAAGGCACCATACAAACTACACACAGAATGTATCCACCATTTCAACGTGTCCAGAGACCCTCCAAAGCCCCTTAATGGATTCTAAGAGTCTACAGAATGCTCAGGTCAGGGATCCTTAATAAGCTTGACCTTCAAGTTATCTCCATGCCTAAAAATCATGATTCTAAGAATATCAAGCAAAATACTGCATCAAGATCATTTTTTAGTTTTAATCACAATTTATGATTAACTGATTAGTGGACAATAATTTATTCAGAATGTACCAAGATCTTAAAAAATATTAAACTTTTAAAACATTCCAAGTGAAAGAATAAGCAATTCACAGCAAAGATATAAGAATTTACACATACATCTATGCATCTGTATAATTTGGAGAGACAGACAAGAGTTCTTCGAACTGTAGGATACCACATTCCATGAAGATCTGCTGGAGAAATTGTGGTATGTGGTCTAGGATTGAGGGCTTCTGTTGAACCTAAAACCCAAATGAAAAAGATTGCACACTTCAGGTATGTGGATGTCTGTCTTACAATAAATTGCATGGTAGTTATAAACTGTATATTCTCATTAACTATAAATGGGACGCCAGTTTTTTTCTCATCTTTAATCAAGAATACCCTTAGAAGTTCAATCCCCGGTACCAAAAAAAAAAAGAATACCCTTAGAAATCTAAGGTAAGATTTAACACAAGGGAGAACATATGTACATTCCAGCCTCACGTATATGCTCAACCCAAACTGCTTTTCTCAAACTAGGATCAACAATCTTTATGAAATGAACAGCATACTCATATTATAGATTTGCGGAGGCAGAGGTGTATGTAGTCACATGGAAACAAATGGGAGCCAATGGAGGTAGAAGTGAAAAGAAAACAAATTTTAAATGGGAAGATTAATCAACGCATCTTGCATGTCACCCTGCCTTCCATGCTGAGCTGTATCACATACAGGCTACTTAGTATATCCAATTCACAAGCGACAAGAGCTGGCTCCCCCACCCTTGGACAGTCAAAAGGCAGCCTCTGGTAAACATGAGGAACGGTAGGCAGGGAGTGTGGCTGAGCAGCCACCTCTGTAAGGAAAGGACAATCACTTTGATGTTTAGGACCAGGTGGCAAATGAACCACAAAAACAGAGCTGGTATAAATCTCTGATACAAGAGGTAAAACTGAAATATGGATTGAGTATTAGAGGACATTAAAGAACTTCATTAAATTTTTAGTGCAATAACAGTTTATGGTTATGTAAGAAGTCATTTTTTTGAGAGATGCTGAACTAGTCAAGTGTCGATGATATCAATAATTTACTTTAAAATGACTGGTTTAAAAAAGTGGTGTGTGTGTGTGTGTGTGTGTGTGTGTGTGTGTGTGTGTGTGTTATGGTTTAGATCTAGAATGCCCCCACAAGTCTCCTGTACATGTAAGGTAAATGGACTGTGTGGGTACTATACTCATCAGTGGATTTATCTCATCTACTGCTAGGTATAGTAGGTAAATATGCTGTTAGGAAGTGCAACCTGGTCAGAAGAGGTGGGTGACATGGGGCGTGATCTGGAAGGGTATGTTCCCCTCCTCAGATCCTCCTTTCTTTTTCTGCTTCCTGGCGGCCATGGGAGAGGCAGGTGTCTTCTGCCCAGACTCTTCCACCATGTTTCTGCCTTGAAGCTAACCAACCACAGACTGAAAACATGAGCCAAAGTAAACCTCTCCTCCTTTAGGTTGTAGGCGCTGGGTATTTTGTCCCAGCAATGAAAAAGTAACATTGTATGTGTAATATGATAAAATATTGAAGTCTTCAATCCACATAGTTAGGCATGGGTGCTCATTTTTCTTTTTATCTTTCTTTTCACTAGTCTATAAACAGTGGACCTTTGGCTTATGAACTCAATTCATTCACAAGGGCTGGTTGTAACTCAAGTTGGTCAACTGAAGGCTCAGGCCCCTCTACACAGCCTTCAAAGTCTCTTTCCTGTATACAGGCAGGTCTCAGTGTCCTTACGAGAGACATTGGCCCAGGATTTCTCAATTACCCCACACAGGAAAGAATATTGTAATGTTCCTTCCAGGACTCTTTAAGGGTTAAATCTGTATCTGAGACCATCTGAAAGCATGAGTGGCCAGCATTCAGATAGTAACTCAAGACTCTGGTCATAAGTTAAAATTAAATTCCGATCATAACCCAAGTTGTTCGTATGTCAGGCCAGTTGTAACTCGTATTTGAAATTTCTTCAATAATAAAAAACTAAAATTTACCCATGATATACCAGTAATAAGTTACAAAACAAACACAGCTCCTTTTAAAAAAAAAGTTCTAGATCTGTGTGCTTAAGAGAATGCCTAGAGGTCATGTGGCACAGCTATGAGGGGAGAGAATTGAGGGAAAGGTGGAGAGTTAGAGCTTTCACCTTATAGTTTTGTAAGCTGTCTTATCAAAAGCAATCAATAGTTGAATATTTAAATCTCTTCCATAAAATCTCACTTTAAGATCTATTTTATAATCTCTTAAAGAAAATCCAAAACAAATTATATCAAAAAATATTTACATTATCTACAGTTTTGCTAAAAATTTTTCTATCTGCAGAATGTGTCCTTTGAAATAGAAGCCAAAAAAGTACTCCCAACAAGATTTAGTGAAAAAAAAAAACATGTTTGAATGCTTTGAAGCTAGAAATCAACTTGTTCATTCATTTTTTCACTGTCTAACTTAACTGTTGACAGAGGAAAGTTTACTTTCACAGCAAACCACCAAAAGCCATGTGTCTCCTGCTGCCCGTTCTGAAGAACAGAACCACCCCAGTGGCAGGGCTTCTCCCACATTGCCAGGAGACACCTTCTCCTCCATCACCCTTGGGGGCCTCCTCTCCCCTCACTTCTCTACATAGAAAAAAAAGCCCACACATTTGGATGAGCCTGATAATTGATCTCTTCACAAAATGGCCCCTCCACCAGTGATACCTCATTCTACACCACAAACTAACATCACTTAAAGCCTTCCTTTCAGAGGGTTCTCATTCTTTCATTTCCAGAATACCTGAGAACCAGGAAAAATGCAACTAATACACAAATCACTAATAAAATATTTTCCCTTTTTTATTTCATACCAAGTCTTTGAAACCTGGTGTGTACTTAACACACTTAAGACATATTTTACACACTCATGGCACATTCAGACAAACCAGCCAGATTTCACATGCTCAGTGGCAGGTGGCTCCAGATCCATACAACACAAATCCTCTCAGTTGTCTCACACTGACTTGACTCACTGTTCCTTGGCCCTCACACTCAAGTGTGTCATCAAATCCTGCTGACCCAAATTTCTAACCCTCTGCCTCATCCCTACACTTCATCCTCTCATCAACATCCTAGTTCAGACCACCTGCATCTTTCAAAGGGAAAAACACAACAGCCTCCTAACCAATTTTTCCAGTTCTGCCAACTCTTCTTCATTTCAATGCCCAGCAAGAATTAAAGAACTGGCTTTTCTGGAGAAAGAGAAAACATAAAAGGCCAGGGTCAGCAAGACCAGGATGTACTCTGATCTGTCCACTAACTCTTAAGGAAGTTTGTTAGGACCAATGTGTACTGGGATAGGGCATGAGTTCTACTATAGAGAAGGCAATTTCAACCCATTGTGGGTCTCCTTCCTACAGGGCAAGAATGACAAAATGACTCTGTCAGACGGCTACTTGGCAGTCTGGATTTGAAGTACCTACTGTTCATAGAGTTGACTCAGATTACCAAATTGTGCTATAAATCCAGGGATCTTGGGGGAAGCTGGGACTCTCTAAAACTCATGGAGTTATAACCAGTCCCATGGGGAGCTGAGCTGTAGTATCTACCATCTTACAGCTGGGGAAGAGATGCCTTACCTACCATTTAGCTTGTTATCCAGGTCACCCTTGGGTGATTCTTAGACAATTTTGTTCCTTGAAAAGTCCAAGCTGGGCCGGGGATTTAGCTTAGTGGTTCTGCTGCCTGCCTCGCAAGCGCAAGGTCCCGAGTTCGATCCCCAGTACCAAAAAAAAAAAGTCCAAGCTATCTTTTATATCCCTGTCAAAAATGTTTTAGTTCCATCCCAGCTACTCAATACAAATTTGATCACCCTGACATAATATACTAGCTAAAAGCTGAAAGGCTATGAAATCATAACGTGATACTGATGACCATCTGGGCTGCCTCACTTGTTCCTTCCTCACATATACCCTGCCTGTGACTAAACACACAAAGCCACTAGTGTTCCCCAAAGCAGCCATGGTCTTCCATTCCTATATGCATTCCTATATGCTTTTCTAGCCACGTAAAACAACCTGACTTCATCTGACTCTCCCACACTCCTACCAACACACTCCAGCTTTCAGATGCCACCATTCACATGGACCCCACCTCCCCACACACAGGCAGCATTCCCTTCAGAAGATCTGCCATGGTCCAACCACCCTGTGTTTCCCATCAGCTCACTGAATCACACCTGAGGTTTATCAATCTCCCCTCATTATGTATGGGTCCTCAAAGGCAGAAGCTGTTTTACATGCCTGGGACACAAGTCCTTAATAAAGGCATGAACTGAATAAATAAGTGCTGGAAGAAAAGATCTCACAACATACCAGATTTTGTTAGACTGTTAGACTCTGTTTCTTCTAACCGAACATCTGAAAATGAAGCTTCTGAAGGTAACTTCTTCTGGTCATCTTTTAAACTCTGTGCAATTTGCTGTGTAGAGAAATCAGAAGGAACATTAAAGTGTAGTTTTCAGCAGTATTTGGCAATATGAACTGACTGAAAAGATGGTTGGGAACTCATATAAAATCAAAGCATCATCCATTAAGGATTTACTAATTATAAAAGGGGAAAGATTTTTATAATCACCACCTTAACCATTTGTGGAACAACCTGACATATTCCCTTAGAGGTAATGAAGTAAGAAGTACACATCTACTATCTAGTATTTTTACAAAAAAAAAAAGAAACTAAATTTAAGCAAGAGAAAACAATCAAATCTACAATATGGCTACATTTCACAATAAAGTTGGCTTGGTCTCTTCAAAAAGGGCAATGTTATAAAAACAAAAAACAAAATGGAGACAGGGAGGAAGGGGTCTTAGTCTGACTCAAAGAGATCAAAGAGACAAAAATTAAATGTAACACAGTAAGCTTGATTGGATTATACTTTTTTAAATTTTTGGTCCAGTTATAAAAGACATGTAAAGGACAACTGGGGAAATTTGAATAGGACTCTATGTAAATAATATTGTTGAACTGATGTTAACTTTATTAGGTACAAAAATGATATTGTGGCTACGTGGAAAATTTATTCTTAGAATAAGAACTAAAATAAGAGTGCAGTATCAAGATGTCTTCAACTTATTCTCAAATGATTCAGTAACAAAATAAACACAAGGAGATAAAAGTAAATGTGACAAAATATTAACAACTAGTGAATCTGAAAGGAAGAGATTCAACTGGCTATGTGATATTAAGGATCTATAATGTTTTAAGGTATGATAATTATATTATGGTTATGTTAAAAATAAAAATACCCTTACCTTTTAGAGATACCCATAAACTACAGATTTTAATGTTTGAAACTTGCTCTAAAATAATTAATGGGAGCAAGACAGAGTAAGGAGGTATAAGTAAACAAGTTGGCTGTGTTGAGGCTGAAGTATGTACATTAAATATTCATTTTACTAAACCTTTGCTTATGGTTGAAAAAGTGTTAGGTTCTAGAGCTGGGCATGGTGGTACACACCTGTAATCTCTGCTACTTAAGAATCCAAGACAGAATCTTGAGTTCAAAGCTACCCTGGGAAGCACAGTAAGAACCATTTCCAAAAAAGTTCTAGGCTCTGTCATACTACTACCTGGGAATTCTTTAACCTCTCCCTAAAACTCAAAGAAGATGAAGTTATATATGGAACTGAACAATCAGTGAGGTAATGTAAGCCTTCAAACCAAAAACTGGACATCAATACTATGTAATTTGTTTTTTTTGTTTTTGGTACTAGGGATTGAACTCAGGCCCTTGCGCTTGAGAGGCAGGCAGCGGGACCACTGAGCTAAATCCCCGGACCAGTACTGTGTAATTTGGAGAAGACCGCCTCCAGTTTTCTGAGACAGCACAACGCAGGGTTACACCATCACCATCAACTACAGTAGCTCCTATATTATGAACCCTCCTATATTTTACAGCACAGGGGATTAAACCTAGAGCCTTCACACTGATCTACATCTCAAGTTCTCTTCTATTTTGAGGCAGAATCTAGACAGTAAATTGACTAAGCTCAAAGTTGCAATTCTCCTACTACAGCCTCTCCCACAGTGCTGGGATTACAAGTGTGTGCCACCACAACCACCTGCAATCCTGTTCTATGCCACTTACAAATGAAAAGGGAAGGGCCGAGAATTTAGCTCAGTGGTTTCGCCACCAGCTGCGCAAGTGCAAGGACCCAAGTTCGATCCCTGGTACCAGAAAAAACAAAAAAACAACAAAAAAAACCCAAAAACAAATGAAAAGGGAAGTCTCAGCAGTAATTAAACTTAAAAATTAAGAATACGTATTTCCTGGCAAAGGAGAAAGAAGTGAATATAATGATTAATAATCATAACAACAAATTATACTCTTCAATGTTTTTTAAAAATTTTATGATTTTAATGAGTTTATCTTGATTCTACTTTCTGAAAAAATTAAAAAATTAATTTCTAAGAAATTAAAAAGGAAAAATCTTTTTTCAACTAGTATAATATATTCAAAAGTTGTATTAGGACAAGAAGGAGATGAAATATGGAGACCCTACCTCCATCATGACTAACTTATCAGGATATGCCAGGTCTCCAGGAGCTGGTTTGTAGCCTGTGATGTCCGTCTGAATGTAGATATGGGTTCGATACACAAGCCGCTCTTGTACATCTTCCAACATCTGCTTTGCTCCAGCTGCAAATGCCCCTAGTTGTTCAGCTAATAAAAAAAATGCAAGCATCCATCCTTGTAGATATAGGAAATTACCTTCTTATAAACAAGCAAAGATATTACTTTAACCACTTTTGCTTCAGAGACTGTGATTATATTCTATTTCAATAGGATTCAATGATCTTAGAAAGGTTTAATAAATGTCTCTCAGGGGCTGGGGATGTAGCTCAGTGGCAAAGTTAATCGCCTAGCTTGTGTGAAGGCCTGGGGTCAATCCCCAGTATGCCAAAAAAGTCTTTCAATTTCAATTTAAAATTGGGAAATAAATTGGTCCTTATACTTCCTAGAACTCTGCAAAATTATTGCCATTATTAATATAAATACTGAATGGGACTTTTAAGAGAGCTCTGTGCTCTCTAAAAGTTATTTCGTACAGCTCCAGATCAATCCTAAGAGATAGTTAAGGGAGCTTAATTTATTATCATCCCCATTTTACAAATAAATTGAGTCCCACAGATACAAAATGACTTGTTAACATTTTCACAAAGAAAAAAGGTAAAAAATGAAATGAGTTTCTGTAGTACTTATTCACTTCTAAAATGCCACTGATGTTAAGACACACTAGTAATTCAGTAACAGCTTTTTAAGAGATAGGGAGTTAATAACATAAGATACTCATATTAATTTAAAAATTATCTTATATTCAGAAGCATTAATATGTGAGAAAACATACATCACAGAATGACTAAATGTAGTAGGAATAGGTTTGGAAGAGTAACAAACCCATAGTAGTGTCTACCAATGAAAGTCAAGGTGAAGACAATTCTGCCCACAAAATGATTACTTGAAAAGTACTTTTTTTAACTTTTATGAGTACATGTTTGCAGTACATGATGATTACATTCATCATGGGGAGCTGATACTAACCTGAATGTGCACAATCTTGTATTTTTTTAAAGGACCAAAGTATATGATTAGGAAAATCATGTTCTCTATAACTGAACCAAATAGTGAAGAATTGATAAGATGGATAAAGCAAAGCTATTCCTAAGAATTGCTTTTCTTTATCTGTAATTTCAAAAATGATGTACCATAACTATGTAAGATGCTAAAATAATTCCTAATTTTTAATCAAAAGATCAAAAATATTCAATTACTTTATGTATTCTGGTAACACTGTACTAGAAATGCCCAACCCAAAACTAATGGCCAACTCTTTCTGCATTCTGGATGCCAAAATGAAAAGTGTCTATTTTATTACTAATTTTGCCCGACTTTAATGGAATTTGAACCATTAGTCAAAGAGTAAGTTGGCCCTTGATTCAAAGAGGAGAAAGACATTAGCCTAAGCTTCAAAAATTTTAAATTTTTATTTTAAATGTTTTTAAATATTAAAAAATATTAAATATTTTAGTGCAGGGGTGTAGAAGTATGTAATTTTTTTCAATTTACTGAGCCACAGATATAATTTAAAAGACCTTTAAACTGATCACTTCTATTTACTTACCATTGTTCTGTACGTGATCTTCAAGCACTTCATTTTTAAGAATCCCACAAAGTTCAGATAGAGTCTCTAAGTGAATGACATGAATGATCAATGGCCTGAAGACATCATACAATGACATACACAGTTTCTCCAAAAGCTCACTAAAATGAAAGAATAAAATATGGTTATAGTAGTGTTTTCAGAATTCTCTAATACTTTAAAAGCTTCATTGATTTCTTCCAGCCAATAAAAACAGTAAATACTGGAAAAGAGTATCTGGGAATACTATAGAATGATAAGTGAAAGGTATAAAGAAATTCTGAGAACTGTTTTTGCTTTAAAAGCTCAGAATCTATGAGTAATCTGCAGCAATCAATTGAAATTAGCTGCCACCAACCAAAAGTCAACCTACCACAACTTTTTTTATTTCAGCAATAATTCTGTACATGTCCTTTCAAAAACAAAATTATCTTTTTTTCCCCCATTCCTAGCCCTCCCTTCATCCCCTCCACCCTTCCCTATTTACAAAGACCTTATTTCCATTTTTTCCATTTCTCATCAACAAAATTATCTTTTGACTACCTTTTATATTCTACTTCACTGTGAATGAAATGGCATGTTTTCTTCCAGAAAAGACAGGTTCAAATTTCTTGAATACATACATATTTAGATAAATAAAACTCAAAGTACTCTGGACACATATCAAGTACTGTGAGAAATTTTAAACATTTAGAAAAAAATTAGTTGTCTATATTGTTCATATTGCCAACAGTGGTCTTCTATACACAGTATTGATCAAAAGTGATTACCCCAACCAAAACCATGAAATACATTTAGCTCTTCCTCATTTACAAGAGTCATAATCTCAGAATCTTTTAAGAATCAAAATAGCCAACACGAAGAAACCAAAAGTGACTAACAGTGCATCTGAAAGACACTTTGAAGAAAAAAAGAGTTATTAAATAGCATCCACATTTTTAATTATCTTTCATAAAATTTTTGAACTAAAAGGAAATATTGTACTTAGTAGAGATAAGAACTATATATACCAAGACACAGTTTGTTGTATAGAATTACTAAATACTTATGTACATATATATACATACATACATACATATATATAGAATTACTAAATATTATCATATCAAAATCTCTCCATAAGTACATGTTGGCCTAGAAATTACATATTTACTTTAATACCCACTGTCCTACCCAACATTCTGTTCACAAACACACAAAAGTTAAATCACTTAAGTTGGTTGTACAGCACTCCTATAATATACTGCACCATTACAGTCATTAGCAAATTACATCTTATTAACAAAAGTTAGGTCCCATGTGCCACCTACTCTAATTTTGGTGTCGGTTTTGTGAAAAATTCATTGTAAAGTTGGTGCTCATCCTGGCACACATGGACCATGAAGGCACAGCCACTGCGAACCTGTGTAAACACACACACACCTATAGTTAGACAAACCTAGTGCTCATAAAATAAAGCCTACACTTTATCTGCAAAGAAATTATGCATATGTACTTATAAAACAACTTACCAAAGAACAGAAAATGTTTCTTTTTCCATGGCTTAATGCTTAGTGGAATTACAGATAACTTATTTTGTTCTTTTTTTTTTGTACTGGGGATCGAACTCAGGACCTCACATTTGCGAGGAAGGAGTGGTGCCACTGAGCTAAATCCCTGGCCCAATCATAAGAGGTTTTTTTTCTTTTTCTTTTTGGTACCAGGGATCGAACTCAAGACCTTGTGCTTATGAGGCAGGCATGGTGCCACTGAGCTAAATCCCCAGCTATTTTGTTCTTAATGCTTTATTTTCTAAATTTTTATAATGATCACAAATTACTTTTCTAGTTGAAAGGGAATGTATTAAAACAAAAACCTTTAGAGTTTTTCCTATGGTATGAATTAAAATCACACTAAACAAGAAAGTACTTCTGCAGCAAAAGCTAAGCTAAAACTAAATTGTTAACATAAATCCACTAACTTTGAAACTTCGTCTTTTAAGAAATATTTGTGAATCTTCATATCTCAAAAACAAAATGAGAATTATTTTGCAAAGTTGAACAAAACTAATAAACTAGATGTCACAACTGAGAAAAAAATTAGTTTGGTGATACGGCAACTGAACCACATAAACTTGCTAAGTCATGTCTGAGACCTTGCTCCCTGAAGTAAGTTGTGTACTACAAGAACAAGACATCAGGAATTCCCAGTGATGAATGTAACTGTATTGCATACCTAAAATGTACCAATAAATTTAACGAAAGAGAAAAAAAAGAACAAGACATCAGGGACATAACTAGATTTGGAAAAACAGTACTTTAGAGGAAGATAAATCAAGTATGGCATCAGAATAGCTCACGGGAAGATTTAACACTAAACCAAATTAGGTACAAACTTACCAAGGCACAATGGTCTCTATTGTTTTGGCTGGTTAACTCTGTGACAGTACAGGCAATACTAGGGCCCAAAAGGAGCTCCCGCTGAGAAAGGTAACACTGGTGGATATCACTGAGCAGTTGCTGGTATCTAATGAAAATGCAAATAAAAATAGATGGGGCTATGAATTTCTGATTTCAGATATGTAAATTAAATCTGATCTTAAACCCCAGAATAGATAGTCAAACCTATAAAATCATAATGGTCACCTTTCATGTGCCCAAATTAAATGCTCAGAAATAACAGATATAAAACAAAACCCATAATGAAGTGATCCCACAAGCGCTACCTCTTAAAGGATTTCTCTTCCAAGAATAGAGACCTCATGTCTGTTCAGAAGAGAAGGAAATCCTGTTGTGGGAAAAACTCTTGGCATAAAAATTTGCTAAGTCAAATCTGAGACCTTGCTCCCCAAAGTAAGTTGTGTGCTATGAGAACAGGCTTGGACACCTGATGGCGCATGCTTGTAACCCCAGATGTCTGGGAGTCTGAGGCAAGAAGATCATAAGCTGAGGTCAGCGCGGGCAATTTAGTGAGATGCTCTCTCAAAGTATATAAAGAAAAGGGCCGAGGACACAGTGTGGCACTCTCTGGTTCAATCCCCACTACTACAAACAAACAAAAAAAGAGTAACTCCTCAGGAAATATCAGAGACACCAGATTTGGAAAAACAGCACTACAAGAAGAATGTAATCTGGAAATCAAAGAACTGGATACTCACTCGGGTATTTTTTCGGATCGTTCTTCTATTTGTTCAATAAGAGTCTGCAGAATAAAGAAAAACCACATTAAAAAGCTGAACATATTAATTATACTTTTCATTACCTTTTTATTATGACAGTATCACATTGCTCATTTAAAAAAACGTAAATATAAAAAAAATGAAAAGCCATGAAAATCACCTTCCATACTAAGAAGTAATCACACATAATATTTCAGTATATTTACTTTCAGGTTTTTGGACCCATAGTTTTCTTCTTAAACAAAGCTGAAATTATACATGTTTAGTTTTATAATCTGCTTTTTTTTTTTTGGTACCGGAGATCAAACTCGGGACCTTGTGCTTACGAGGCAGGCGCCGGAACCACAGAGCTAAATCCCCGGCCCAAAATCTCCTTTTAAAAATCAACATAACTTTGGCAGGCATGGTGGTGCACACCTGCAGTCCCACCACTCAGGAGGCTGAGGCAGGGCGATCGCCACCAGTTCGAAGCCAGCCTGGGCTACTTAGTGAGCTCAAGGCCAACCTGGACTACATAGTGAGACTCTGTCTCAAAACACAAACAAACAGGGCCGAGGATTTAGCTCAGTGGTTTTGCCGCCTGCTGCGCTAACTCAAAGACCCGAGTTCGATCCCCGGTACCAAAAAACAAAAACAAAAACAAAAGTAGAGATGGATTTACATTTGCCGGGGATTTAGCTCAGTGGTTTCGCCGCCTGCTGTGCAAGCACAAGGACCCGAGTTCGATCCCTGGTACCAAAAACAAACAAACAAACAACAAAAATTAACATTATTTCATAGACACTTTCCTATTAAATAATTTTCAATATTAGATGAAAACGTATAAAAAGCCCTACAATAGTGCCTAGTAAAACATTCAATGAATCTCATTTTGATTCATTTAAAACATTATGTGAACCAGGGGTGGTGGCACACACCTATAATCCCAGTACTCAGGAGGCTGAGGCAGGAGGATCATCGCAAGTTTGAGGCCAACCTGGGCTACACAGTGAATTCAAGGCCAGCCTGAACTACATAATGAGGCCCTGCCTCAAAACAACAACAAATAATAATAATTATTATTATAATTATGATTAAACATTATGTAAAATTGCTAAATATTATCCTATTGTTCATTCTTCTAGTATTAGATATTTAAATTGTTTCCAAAGAACTGCAGCCCTCTGGTTAAGAGCCCAGAGGGAAACTAGGGGGTCTGAGTGTCTGCTCCATCATAGCTGTCTGAGCCCAGGCAACCTGGTTCACTTCTCTGAGATCCTACTTCCTACTATTAAAGCTAGTATTATGAGAGCACAACACAATGGGTCAAAAGAAAAATGTATTTGTATAGGCTGTTAAGCTAGCATCCTAAAAAAACCTTTTAGAAATGAATCATTTACATCAACAGTATTACTTGTCTCACCAAATCCTCAAAAGAACTGACCTAAGCCATAATTTATCTATTTCCAAAACACAAAATAATGCCTAACCTTTGTTTCTTTTGTAACAGAACTCACTATATATTCTGAGCCAGCCCTGAACTCACTATGTAGCCCAAGACGGCCTGAAGCTCATGATCCTCCTGCCCCAACCTCCTAAGCATTGGGACTACAAGGGTTTGCCACCACGACCAGGTGCCTAATCTTAACTTGCCTGCATTTTCCACATTATCTGAGTAACCTGGTTATTTTATATTAAATGTATTTGTATTGATATAGAAGCAGCTATAGTATATTAAAAATACTGACTTTTGGGCTGGGGATTTAGCTCAGTGGTTCTGCTGCCTGCCCCGCAAGCGCAAGGACACGAGTTTGATCCCTGGTACCAAAAAAAAAAAAAAATACTGACTTTCCTGTTGAAAAGATTCCAATTTTTACCTTGTTTTTGCTATTTAAAATCCAAACATTTAATGTTTATATCCTTAATTTCTTTCCCAATAATTTTTCTAGCTTTTTAGGGGATGTGCTTATCATGTCATATTTATTAGCTCACTTACAATGTATTTTGGTAATATTATCAAGTAAAATGCTTACTCTTTTTTTCAAATACTTAGCAGATTTTCCCAATACCATTTTAGAAAACTTCAGCACTTCTTTTTGATTTGAGATGTTTCTTTATACATTAAATTTTAGAATTTTCCATTTCAATGATCTGTCAGTGAATTATTGAATCAACAACACTGTATTTTTCAAAAATTTCTATAGTCTTACTTATTTATCAGATAAAGTTCAACCCACTGGAATTTCTGCTAGGAGTACATCCCACTGTACTTCCCAGTGTAAATTTCACTGGGAAGAACTGAGATTTTAAAAATTAAGTCTCCTAACCACAAACAAGATATTTTTACCATTTATACAATCTTTTATGAATGTCTGTCTAGTTTTGCCATTTCCTTCATCCTTATAGTTCCATAAGTTATTGCTAGGTAAGCATTTGATGCTTTCTATTGCTAATGTAAGTAGGGGCCCAGCACATGGACTAACTGGTTACTTATAATGTATAGGAAAGCCACTGATAATTATAATAATCACTTTATAATCATCCATGAGAATAAGCCTCTTATCTATACCATTTTCTAATCAAATTATTATCATGGGCATTTGGCTAATAAGCAAAATCAATCAAGGAGGCACAATCTAAATCTCATACCATCAATTAATCACTGTCTATTATCTTCTATAAATAAAAGGAAGTTTCTTCTATTTCCAAAAACCAAAAACTCCTTCTCAAGTGGCTGACTTTGTAAACAGAAACAAGTAAAAGAAGATTTAGCAAAAGTAGATTACCCTTTCTAGTAACTTCACAATGAATAAAGAATATTCATGTATCAGATCCAATTAAGTATATTTCAGATATATTATAAAATATATCAGACTTTCCCTGCCTCCATTTCCAATTACCTACGATTACCTAATCAAGATGAACACATTGGGCATTCTTTTATCTACCAAACACTACTACAGGCAGTAAATAAGACACATATCCAACCTCATGGAAGATACTATCAATGCCTTATTCAATCCCTATTTTACCTAGATCACTGCAAAATATTCCTTGTTATCAAGCCTATCTCAAATCTCTCTTCCCCATAATCCATGTTTACACTGCAACTTTCATTTCTGAAATGATCAATGTGACCAAATCACACTCATTATTTCTCTACTTTTCCTGAATTAATGACATGTAAAGTCCCTTGTGAGATGGGTCTTTGCCATTTTTCCTGTGCTGTTTCCCATCATACCCCACTAATATTCTTTGTTCCTATAACAAATTACATAGTTCTCCCAAAATGTATTTCTTTTTATGTCACCACAACCTTCACTATAATGCTGTCCTCTCTGTATAAAACATCAGCCTCCTCAAGTACACTAAAAATATGAGCTTTTTAAACCTACCTTTATCTAGAAACCTTCCCTGAAGATCACAGGAAAATGACATGTTTCCTGCTCTGTGGAAGTGAGCAGGACCCATCTCTAAGATACATTGCTGAATGTGAAAGGACAACGCCATCTTTCATTCACGTTCATTTCCCTGGAGTAAGCAAAGTACTTCAAAATGGCTAGCTGCATAAATTTCATAACAATATCCTATTTATGTCAATGGACTTACTCTGACTTTGGGGGCAGCAGCTCGAAATTTCACATAAAATAGTGTGAAAGAATTGTCTGCATTAGGTATAGATGAAGGATCCTAAAGAAACATGGAAGAAAATAGGGAAGGAATATAATTAGCAAACAAAGAATTATTCAGAAAATGTAACCCTAACCATTTCATATGACTCTGGCTTGGTCTTCATACCAACCCAAAGCTTAGAAAGAAAAATCACAGAGAAATTACATATTATTATTGCTACAAATTATAAATAATTAAGAGGAACTATCTTTCTCTTCTCTTATTATAGTTAAAATTTACTCTGTATTATTTAAAACTTTGGAAGGAAACGGCCTGCATACAGATTCATACTGACACTTTCTGGATGTAAAACATTGGCAAGATTACTTCACCTCCCTGAGATTCAGGGCATCCATAAAATTACCATAATATACATACACAGAGACTTTGTGAAGCTCAATGGTAAAGCACTAGCATAGTGAGCACTTCTATTTATTAAATATTAGTTTCCTAAAGTTACTGAAAATTCTGCAAAATAGTAAAAAAAATAGTCTGTTATATCAGCTAGAAGCAACATAAATAGTAAAACACAACCCAAAAATCACTGGCTCTGAATGAAAGTTCAAGAAGACATTCCATATTTTTTTAGAAAGTAAGCTTAAAAAGCAAAATATAAATAACCATTTTGATTCTGTTTTCTTAGGAAAGAAATATACTCAATGACCACCCTAGCTAGCTCTACTCTTATTTTCTAACCTAACATCCTACTAACTTTCCACCTAGCATCTACTGCAATCTGTAACTGCTTTTCCTTCTTTACTCATCATTTCTCCTGAATATAAGCTCCATGAGGGCAGGGACCTAACTAGCTCCTTTTTGCTGCTATGCATTTCCTATTTCAATTTAAAACATTAAGGGATGCACAATAAAAATAAAAGCATAAAAACCACCAAAAAAAAAAAGGTAAAGAAAAAAATTTAGGATAGGAGTGTAACTCAGAGGTAGAGCCCTTCTCTAGCATGTGCATGGCCCTGGGCTCAATCTCCAGCACCACAAAAAATAATGATAATTAATTAATAAACAAATAATCTATCAGACTGAACCACTTCTATTATTTTGGTGTATTTCTTTCCAACATTTTCATAAAACAGAAATGTTTTAAGTGACATATAGTTTGTATTTCTTTTTTTTTTTTTTTTTTTGAGACAAGGTTTTGCTATATAGTTCCAGCTGGCCTTGAACTCACTAGGCAGCCCAGGCCGGCCTCAAACTCGCAGCAATCCTCTTGCCTCAGCCTCTCGAGTGAAGGGATTACAAACATGTGCTCATTTAATTATTTATCATATATTACCAGACACTACTCAAACTGTTAAATATTACGTGAAAACAAGATTATAATGGACATTTCTAATAAGGACAATTCTATTATAAATAAAACTTAATAAAACTTTGGAGCAATTACAAAGTATTAATCTTAGATAAAGATTATGGACAATGGGGGCCAGGGATTTAGCTCAGTGGTTTTGTCGGCTGTTGCACAAGTGCGAGGACCCAAGTTCAATCCCCAGTAACAAAAAAAAAAAAAAAGATTATGGACAATAAATGAACCAAAAATAAAGCTGTTGCTGAGATCAGTTAACTCACCCTTTTAAGTAACTGATTTGTGAGAGTCTGTAGTGTATTCACAGTGTATGTCTTCATGAGGTGCAATGCTTTAGAAAGACACTGTTTAAACTTCAGCAAGTATACAGGATAATCTTTAAAATTAGGCTGTAAAACAAAGAGGAGAATTTACAAAGAAGAAACAAACACTGACAAAAAGCTAGATTTTAATAAAAACCAACGTGTCCTTTAGGTAAAGCGATATATGAAGTTCAAACATTCAAAAAAAAGTTTTATGTAGATTATGAGGTCCATGAAGACAAATACTATGACTGACTTCATCACAGCCAAATCCCCTATACCTGGCACAAAGTAGGAGCTCAACTGCTGCAGTTTTAAGTACTCCATGGACTGTGAAACTAATATGTAAAGTCCAACTAGAGAAAGGATAGAGAAATCCTTGGAGATACAATGATTAAGCCAAAAAGCTTAGCTGGGCACGGTGGCACGTGCCTGTAAGCCCAGCACTAGGGAAGCCGAGGCCAGAGGACCACCAAGTTCAAGCCTAGCCTAAGCAACTTAGTAACAGCATCTCTAAATAAAAACTAAAAAAGTGCTGGGAATGTAGCTTAGTGCAAACGGCCTGGGATCAATCATCAGTATCAAAGACAGAGAGACAGAGAGACAGAGAGAGAGAGAGAGAGAGAGGCAGAGAGAGAGAGAGAGAGAAAACCCCAAAGAGCTTGTCACCTTAGTTCCCCCAAGTAATATTTTCCATTTCCAAGGAATTATCTTGCACAACAGGCTATCAACAATTTAAAATATGATTCATCCTTTCAGGTAAAATAAAGCTGAGTCAGCCAGGAGCAATTCTACTCCAGGGGCAGCCTCAAGAGCTAAAAGTACTGTATTTTTATACTACTACTGATAACAACAAAGAATTAACTAGTTTTTCTTCAACATGTTACAGATACATACAGTCATTCCTTAGGATCCATATAGAATTGGCTCTAGGACCCCCAAGAATATAAAAACCCATGGATGCACAAGTTCCTTATATAAAATGGCATAGCGTTTTCCTATAATCTATATTCATCCTCTCATCTACTTTAATTCATCTCTAGATTACTTATAAAACCCAATTCAATGCAAATGATATGTAAATAGTCGTCACACTATTGTTTAAGGAAAAATGACAAGGAAAAACATCTGTACATGGTCAGTACAGATGCAGTGCTTTTTCCTGAGTCTTTATGATTTGCAGGTTCACTGAATCCACAGATACAGAACCTATGGATACAGAGGGGTGACTATATTTTTCCTTTCAGAAGAAGTAATTATTGTAGCACACAGGAAGTAATATAATAGAAATGTTAAGATTTCTTTGAAACATACACAAGTACCATTACTTACATGAGATGAAATATAGGTTATACAATCATCTAACTTGGCCAGCATAGGTATAAATCCTTCACTATTTACAGACAAAGTAGGAGAATTCAATTTCTTCAAAAGGACAAAAACAATCAATTAATTGACAAAAACAAAATACAGGTACAAGTTTAAAATTATTAACTAGAATTAACATTTTCCTTTAAGATAAACTACAATGTACTAGATCTTTACAATATATTTTAAAAGTCATCAAAATGTCCTCAAATATGGTCCATGTGCAATAATAAGGAAGAAAACAAATAGAAAAGAATACTGATTTAAATCAGTTTATTCCTAGTAAGCTTTAATGGAGCTCTGCATGAATTAGCAAATATTTTTACTATACCACTGCACAATGTTATAATGAAATAATATATCACGTATCTAGATTTCCCACTTTCTAGTACTTCATAACATATATAATATTTCCACTTTCAAACACTGGCAATTTTCTTATGGTTCAAGGATTAATTTGGCAGTCATATTACAAAAGTAAAATATTACTAGCCAATCATTTTATAACCTGATATGCAAACGGCTTGGCAATAAACTAATTCCCATTACATTCCACGGTTTTACTTCTGTGCTATTAGCTTTATTTCTATGCCTTTATTAAACTAATGATTTTAATAATTTAATAACATGATTTATATATAATTATGATTAATTTATAAATCAGAAAAAGAAATATAACTTTGGGGACTATTATTTAGGATACAAGTATACATTATAAGACTCTACATTTCTTCAAACTAAACATGAAAATTTCTTCAAAAAAATGTTCTCGCTAGCACAATCACAGCAAGATTTAAAATTGAGCATTTCTTCCCACAATTTTCTTCACAGTTTGCAGATAATATAGAAGAGGCAACCAATCAAAAGATTTTAATAACAACCCAATTTAAAAAACATTACATAAACTATATTTTTTAAAACTTTTAACTGGTAATATTATCTCCACTTGTTACAAACAGGAATATCTCTTACTATACAAACATTTGTAAGTTACAGTGTAACTCAAGCTAAAGTCTAAGTTTGAGGACTATACTGAGGAAATATAAAAATCACTGACTACAAAAAAAGCAAAAAGCACTTACTGTATTAATAGTTTCCAATTCATTAAAATAAGAAAGCTTTTGTTGAATATTTTCAGCCAGATCAACAAGTTCCGACTTGCATTTTTAAAAGAGAAAAATCAATTACTGTAAGAATATAAGAATTAACACTCCAGTCTCAAGATTATTGTCAACAGATTTATATTAGACATGTAGATGTACAGATTTCCCAATAGTGAAATATTTCTGCAGTCATGAATTAAAAGAGGTAATAATTAAATTTTATGATTTGTAAAATAATGATTGCCTTCAAAAACACATAAAATACATACAGAGAAAATTCTGAGACATAGTTTTCAATATTTTACCTCTAAATCACCAGTTTAAGTGTAACTTCAATCAGTTCATCTGCTTGTTTGTGAAATGTTAATAATAAAGAATGGGACCAGGTATTTAGTTCAGTGGTTCTGCGGCCCGCCTCCCAAGTGCAAGGTCCCAAGTTCGATCCCCAGTCCCCCCCCCCCACAAAAAAAAGAATGCCAGAGCAAGCTAATAGATCCACTGATTCTAAAACTGTACTGAGACCTAACAGCTCACAACACAGGAAAGCTTGTGTTTACCCCTCTTCACATGAGCTCATTTGGAAAGCAGGCTGCCCTGCATATGTAGCACAAGGCCTCTTTCAGAGCAGTGTTCAACATATATTTACAGAGACTAAGGAATTAAAATTAAATTGCATACATCTATTTAAAATAAAATATTAACTATAATCACTGACCCTCCCTCCTACTCCAAATTACCTGTTCTTTTAGGAGCTGTTCACAGGCTTCATGGAGGGTTCCTGTCTTATTAGACACAAAGAGATACTGGTTCTGCAATGATTCCAGATGCTGAAGAGCACTGTTTACATCATTCAAAATAGCATCACACTGCTCCTGAAACCCAGACAAGTAATCCCTCATCTGTCTAGAAAACAGAACCAAAAGGGGATTGGAAATAATATTTTCCCCCAATAAGCACAGTCAATTAGCAAGAAAGCCTCATTTTTCCCACAAGCTTGAATTTCGGGAGGAAAGTCTGACCTACTAGCAAAAGTGATTATACTCAGAAATATAGCAAAAGCTATATCATAAAATGTTCAAATACTTAAGAAGACAACTCACTGATACTATAAGCAACAACAACAACAACAAAAAGTTAACTTTAACCTAGCTTTTCACTTGTAAGGTAATGGCTCAACTTCCAAAGAGTGGGATCCCAAGCCAATCCAAGGTTGGTCAGTCCTATCAGACCACTGCCACCTTTGAGAGATGGTGTGATGCTGTGGAGAATTCCAGATTGGGAACTGGAAGCCATGGGTCCAAGTCTCAGCTCTACCTAAGTCTGCATGATATTGAGCAAGTTATTAAATATTTATAGGCCTCAAGTTGCCCTTCTGTAAAACAGAAATAGTAATTATCTTTGCTCACATAGCTGCTACAAGGATTAAATGGGATCTTTTATCAAAGAGCCTAACACACTGTCCAGCAATAACAGCTGTCAATGTCAGCTGAATATAAATACCAACCCACAATCCTGAAATGGCCAGAATCTGTACACTATCATGTCTCCACATGCTAACAGCATATAAAACCAGAACTACACAGTTAAACCCAATCAAGATGGCCATCCTTAATGTCTCTTGTGAATGTTTCTCCTTATATGGAAAGGCAACAAATACCTCTTAGAGTTCATGTAAAATTACTCAAACCCAGTGCTTTCCAGAGATATCTTTTTTTTCAATCACACAGCTTCTAAAATCAGTTATAATTCCCAAATCCTCTCTCTGGCTATTTTTAAACAAAATGTGCATGTCAGTGTCTTCTCTACACCTTTATTTGTTTAAAGACACAGAATATGAATTGTACGAGGTGACTGTGATCTAAAATTTACAGTATCAAACAAATATAAGAACCTGACATACCTATATTTTGTTCCTTCATCCTGATCCATCTGAGTTTGGAGCTTTGCAAACCACGAAAAAAACTGGAAAAATAAAGAATATTATATTGTCAACTAAACTAAAAAAGATAAAATGAAATGTGAATACATGCTAAACTATAAGACAAAGGGGGAGACACTACCTCAGTCTTATTATTTAAGGCTTAGTCATAAATAATTAGCTTTAAGCCAGGTGTTACGGTTTATATCTAGATGTCCTCCCAAAGCCTTATACGCTTATAGATGGGGCTCTTAGGAGGTGAGTGGATCATAGGTGAATGATACTGATAAATGGATTACTCCACTGAGAAATGTATAGCTCAATGTGACGCTGGGAGGTGAGCCTGGTAGGAGGAGGTGGGTCACTGGGGGTGTGGCCTGGAAGGGTCTATCTCCCTCCCCTCTCCTTGATCTCACTCTCTGCTTACCACCACCACACCATGAGCTGTTTCTCCTGTGCCAAGCCACCCTGCCTTGGAACCACCTAATTATGAATGAAGCCTCTACAAACTGTGAGGCAAAATAAACCTTTTCTCCTTTAACTTGTGAGAATCAGGTACTATGTCTCAGTGATAAGAAAGTCACTAAGACACCAGAAGAAGATAATTATTATATATGCAATATTTACATGCTAAGAAAAGCAAAGGATATTAAAAAAACACTGGCCATTTCCAAAGTTCAGTAAGAGGAGTATTACAGACACAATTATAAAAAATAAACTTTTCTTCCTAATGCCCACTTACTAGTTTGCCAAATCTGAATAGTTAGCACAGGGCCTTAGGTAAATGTCAATATTATCTAGTAAAAAATCTGAGAATAAAAACTTGAAAACAAGATTATACAGTAGTTTAAGAATATGGGCTTTGGCATCACCTAAACCATTAGTTTGAATCCTGGCCCTACTACCAATACTATGAAAAATATCTATTATTAAAAAAACAAATGGGGCTAGGCATGGTATCATCTCACTGTAATCCCAGTACTCCGGGAGGCTGAGGCAGGAGGATTCCAAGTTTGAGCCAAGCCCAGGCAACTCAGCAAAATCTTGTCTCAATTTTTTTTTTTTAATTTTAAAAGGGCAGAGATATAGCTTGGTGCAAAGCCCCTGGGTTCAATTCCAAGTATCGAGGAAAAAAAACCCACAAAAATCCATTTGGGGATCATCCTTAAACTGGGCATAAAGAAAGTTTCTGAGGTGAAAGAAATGTTTTATATCTTAGTAGTAGTGGTAGTCATTCCAGTATACACACTTGTCAAAACGAACTCAGCTAACACTTAAAATGAGTATATCCTATTGTATGTAAGTTCATAATTCAATATATTAGATTTTTACAAACTTTTTAAAGAGATATAACTCAATATATTAAATTTTTTTAACTTTTAATGAAAGATACAGGTGCAAATTTAATCCAGGTTTTGTTTTCAGTCCAAAGAAGTTCACAGACACGGTGCTTGATTACCTTCTAGAATTCTCAAGAGGAATTCAACGTCAAGGGTGCATAGACTTTCGTGTACCCTGCCTATCACTTACTGAGCATTTATTTTGTGTTCACCACACCCTGCATTTACATGTGTTCTCTTATTTAATTCTCATAAAAATCCTATGATAGGTGTATAATTATTGTCCTTGTTTCACAGATTAAAAAACTGCAGACCCAAGAAAGTAAGAAATCTAATCTGCCAGAGGTCACAAAGATGCTAAGTGATGGAGCTGCCTTTCAGAGGCAGGAAGTCTGAACCAAGAGCTGAGGCTCTCAAGCACTCTGCAGTATTGCACATGCCATGAGTGCACCTCCTTTCCATTCACTTGGAAAATACCTCAGCTTTAATTCTTAACAGGATAGATAGCTCAGTGGCACCATGCCTGCCTGGCAAGTGCAAGGTCCTAAGTTTGATCCCTGGTACCAAGGGTTTAAAAAAAAAAAAAAGGATAGAAAAAACAAAGGAAGTGGCTAAATAAACTACTACACATTTAGGTTTATAATTAGCAATAAGCAAAAACCAAGTTTACATATGCTAAGTTACTGAGACATAACAAAGCTTCATCTAAAAATCATATTTAGTTTTTCTTTCTTAAAGGGGTTACCTAGCAACAAACAGAGAGGGGTGTGTGTATGTTTATATGTACGTATGTGTTTATATGTATGTACAATATGTGTCTGCTTGAGGGGACAGGTTAATATAGACACCTACTGAGGGAAATCAAAAGTACACAGAATATTAAAAACCTTAATAAATTTAATAATCTATCAACATCCAGAATTGGACTACCATACCTTTATCTATACCATCAATATAATTGAGTAACAGAGTCATTTAAAATACTTAATAGCTTCAACTATCACAAAATCAAGAATGTTCTAGAAAGATTTGATAATCACTATGGTATCAAATGTTCACACCTTTTCATTAGAACCTTTTTTATTAGCCTATCCTGAGACATCTGCAGTAATCTAATATCCTTAGAAAAGATACTGCAATTCACCTGCTGTGCGGTCTCAATTCTTTCTTCTTCCATTCCTAAGGAAGTAAAACCCTTCAAGAGAATGTCTTCTGTAGATTCAGGCACTGTTGAAGTCAGGTCAATGGGCAGTGACTGGGAAGTTAAGCTACATGAGTCTTCAATTGGTAGCTTGAAAAAAGAAACCACAAAATATTTAAGCAACTTGAAAATTCTTTGAATTTAACTCAAGACTGGGTTTCCATCTCAATGGATTTGAAAAAGAAGTATTTCCATTAAATCATTTGAGATTAATAAATTCCATATAACACTGACACTTTTAACGAGGCTCTATGTTAAATACTACTCTCAAAACATATAATACTAATGTCACATCATTAATAACATATGATTTTTGAGACGGCTTTCTAACAATGATGGTGAATCCGTACGAAACCACACACATTTGTCTCACTTGTACCTCTGGTTGAACTACCACCAGAAAAAAGGAAAACCTGTGTGCTAAAAGTAGCTCATTCTCCTCAGGATCTAACAGAAAAGCTGACCAACCAACAGGATTAACAAATCACACCCCACATTTAATCAACAAACCACTTCTTCCTCCCATTTCCCATCCATGCACATTTTTCACCTACATTCTTATTGACAAATTTTGAAATTCCATAAAATAGGAAGCATTTCAGAGTTTCCAATCAGTCTCAGAAAAGTCCAAAGGACAAGGCTGCACTTTGCACCACTATACCTACAGTATTCTAGTGCTCCACTACTAAAGATAGTCCAGGTGTTCACTTAACTGCAGTCTATAAAGAAAAGCTGTTTTTAGACCTGAAAGAAAGGGGAAGTGGATGCTAGGGAAAGCAAAAGGGCCCATTGTTTAGGTTCAAGTCTAGCATTTAGTTCTTAGTTCAGGGCATTTAAGGTTTACCAACATAAGGCATAATCCAAGGCCTTGTGAAGCTGATTCTTATGTTTCTGAATATAAATGTTTCACTGAAGACAGTATTTTCTGTTCAAAGCTAAAATAAGCTCGATAGAAAATGTACCACCAATTTAGAAACATAATCCTTTAATATGAGATTTTTCAAGTATAGATTCAAATGGAGCTATTGTTACTGCACAGTGAAGCACACTACAGTGCAACTGGTTTGAGTAGCTCTCTTATAAAGCTGTGAGACATTGGGCAAATTACTTAATATTTCTAGTCCTCAATTTCTTCTATCTGACATAGATAGTCTCTGTACCATAAGACTATCATGAAGAGCAAAGAAGAAAACACAGATATGGGAAAACTGGCCTCTTGAAATACCAGTAAGCTGTAGACAGAAAGTGATCAGGAGGGTCCCTGAGCTGCTTCATCCTCACATATTAGTCTGATTTGAGTGCCAGGTGGGTGTTGGATGTGGGTAAATATGTTTATTAGGGCACCACTTGTACTGTAATATAAACTCTTCCTGGATGGTAACATCATCCCCGAGTGTGTAAAAGGACTGTGGCCCAACAAGAATTAAGTTTCTCAAACCTAGTGAGGATCTATCTCATGTCTAAAGTGTCACCAGCAACTGCATGCTGCCATTAGAAGCACAGGAGGACACAGGGAGCTGTGCTGAGATGCCACCCTAGGGTCACCAACAACAAGCTGTCTTCTCCAGAAGGGGCATAATTCACCAGAGACAAACTACATTAAAGCACTTAGTATAAGACCTGCCACGCGGTAAATAATAAATATGAGGTATTGCTATTTGTAGTAGTAGTATTGTTTTTATTTATTCTTACTCATTAATAGCAACAAAGTACATTTATAAAACTAAAATCTATATTCCTTGAGAACAAAAGTCACTAATCTATTTTTACAATATTGTATTAGCAATAAAATTTAGCTCTACATGCACAGGTCCTAACAAAATTCAATCAAATGATTCTACCAGTACTGTTTACATATATCTAAACTAGGTGTAAAAAAATAAACAAATAAAATAAACTAGGTGTATCTAACCCATGGCCCACAAGCCACATGCAGCCCTGGACATTCAGTAAAACAGACCAAGATCATAAACTTTTGACAGTACAATGTGATTTTTAGCAGTATTTTTCATGACTATGCTGTGTGGTGCTCAAGCACAGATCGTACTAGACTTGTATAAGACCTACCTTCCCAGAGGAAAATATCCCTCACTCCATAGACATACCTCATGCACATCATGGCTTTTTGACAGGATGTACATTTGTGAACCAGCTTCAACAACAAAGCAAACTAAGAGTAAAATTAGTTCAAAAATTTCTGGTGAGCACCTTGAGAACTCACTAAGAATTGCAACCACTTCCATCAAACCAGTAATGATATATTAGTTTCACAAAAACGAGGTCAAATTTCCCACTAGTTTCATGTTTATGTTGTCTTGTTTCTTGTTATGATAAAAAAAATTAAAAATAAAGGAGGTTTGGCTATATATATTAACTATATTATACATTGCATAAGTGGCCCAAGATAATTTCTCTTCAGTCAGTGAAGCCCACGTAAGCCAAAAGGATGGACACCCATGATGTAAACAGACCAAGCTCAGCTTTGAAAAACACACAGGAAACACATGGAGACCAGGCTAAGATGAAGACAGTGTGAAGGACTATTGCTTTACTCTTAACAGTAAGAAAAAGCCAGCTAATCCACAAAATCACAGCTATTAAATCCCGGAGAGGTGAGGCTCCAGAATAATCACACAACTTAAATCTTAGGGAAAGATGGGCATCTCCTGGAAGAACAGGCAACAAGCACTGGATAACTCCTAAAAGATCACAGGGGAAAAAAAGGACAACAAGCACCACATAAGACAGGAAATTGAATTCAATCAAAACCTTTCCACAAACTGGAGGATCAGTTCAAAGACCCTGGAAGCCATGAACCAAAGGAGTTCACACCCATTCACCTGGGCCCCTCCACAGACCTCCACTAGATGGTGCTGAGTGAGAACTGAACAAACTGGGACAGGCCTGGAAGAGAGGTGTGACTAATGCTATGAGGGGACACAGGGCACAAGGCCCATTTGAACCCTTCTCCCCAGTGGGACAAAGCTGAAGGCCACTAGAAAAGGGGGGGGACAACAAATTCTGTCAACCCCAGAGCACAGAAGGTCCACTATGGCCAAGGAGAGGGAAAGAAAACAATCATGAGCCTAGGGGCACAGGCAAGAAACATCCAAGGTTCAGAATGTTAGAGGTCTCTCACAGCAAGAGTAAGGATGGAATCACTGAGAAAGCACCCCCTCCAAGGCCCAAGGGAGAAAAGCCCTGCCTAAGGCTTTGGCTGGACCAGATGGCACAAAACCCTGACCTATCACTAGCACCAGGAAGCTACTGCAGGGAAGGAACGAAAGCGCAGGGACAGACACCCTCTGAGACACAAGCACAGAGCACACCAAAAGCAGAGGATAGAGGAAGAACGTTTAGAACATTTAGAAAACCCTGCAGCAAAAGTTTATGCATGAAAAATCTGAAGCCAGTCATAAACAATGATAATCAGAGCAACAACAAATCTACAGCCAGCTCAATTTCTGACTAGACTGACTCAACTCCCACACTAACAGCTAACAAGAGAAATATCCCATATCAAACATTAACAATATGCCTCTTCTCTACTCTCTCTCTACTGTTCGGGCACACAACATCCAGTTTTCAATTTAAAAGTTAAAGGTAAAAGAATGAAAAAGTAATTCACTGTCAAGAGATAAGATAATCAACAGAGCCAGGTTCAGATAACTTGAATACTGGAATATCAGAAAAGGAAATTAAAATGGGCTGAGGATTTAGCTCAGTGGTTCCACCTCCTGCCCCACAAGCACAAGGACCCAGTTCGATCCTCAGTACCAAAAAAAAAAAGAAAAGGAAATTAAAATAACTGGGAGTACTGTGTTAAAGGCTCTGGGATAAGATTCAGATAAGATGGATGAATACATACAAAATTGCAGCAGAAAAATGAAAACCATGTTGAATGAAAATGCTAGGAAAAAAAACCATAGTAACAGAAGAAAAATACTTACATCAATACACTCAACACAGCTAAAGAAAGAATCATTAGGGCTGGGAATTTAGCTCAGTGGTTCCGCCGCCTGCCTCACAAGCAGAAGGACCTGAGTTCAATCCCCGGTACCAAAAAAAAAAAAAAAAGAATCACTGAACTTCATGTCAGGTCACTAAGTAAAACTTACCCAAATTGAAAGATAAAAAGAAAACAAATACAGCATCTAAAAACCATAGAGTGGTAATGAATTATCTGATAAACATATAACTGCCATTCCAAAAGGAAGAGAAAGCAACAGAGAGAAAAACGGGGTAGAAGAAATATTTGAAGAAATAACTTCAGAATTTTCTAAAAATAACAAAAGGTATTAACTACAGGTCTCAAAGAATCCAAGCAGTGCACACACACCCTCTAAAAATTTCTGAAAACTTTTGAAGGGAGCCAGAGGTAGAAACGTGTTGCATACAGAGGAACAGCAGGCTTCTCAAGAAAAAATACACAATAGAATGACATCTTTAAAGTGCCAAAAGACAAAAAAAAAAAAAAAATAAGCCAATGTATTAGCACACACTTGTAATCCCAGCCCTCAGGAGGCTGAGGTAGAAAGATCACTGCAAGTTCAAAGACAGCGTGGGCTACATAGTGAGTTCAGGGCCAGCCTGAACTACATGCCAAGCCCCTGTCTCAAAAATAAAGTGCCAAAAGAAAAAAGTCAACCCAGGATCCCATATCAGTGAAAACGTCTTTTTTTAATATAGCAGAAATAAGGACTAGGTAAGCAAAAGCTGAGAAAATTTATTACCAGCAATCCTAAAAGAAATGTTAAAGAGAGTTCTTAAGGAAGATGGAATATAATACCCCCTGGATCTACTGAACACACACACACACACACACACACACACACACACACACACACACACACACACGAAATGGTTAAATTGAAGGTAACTAAGACAGGCTTTTTAATCATCAGAAAGAAATGTTGAAAGCAAAACTAGTGGAGATGTATTATGGGTTTACAACATACTATATAAAATAAAATATCTGGCAACAATAGCACTAAAGAGAGAAAGGAGGAAATGGATGCATAAGGGTCTCATACTACATGTAAGGCAACATAATATCTAAAGGCAGACTGTGGCTAATTAAAGAAGTATAC